TGTTCTACAGACATCTTCTTGTTCTTCACCGGGTCGATGACAAATCCAGTGGCAGCCTGGGCCTCCAGCAGGACCAGAGCTGTACCGGGAGTCAGAATCCCCTTTGACCTTGCTTGGTAGATGCTCATTTTTTGATTTGTAGATTGAATCTTTACCCCTGCAATGCTGTTAGTGCCTTCCAGATATTTCTGTATTGATTTTATTTTGGTAACTTCATCTGGTTTGACTTCTCCATGAATTAATTTTTCAAACATGTCTTTTGTTATAATATTAGACTCCCACAGTTGACTGGCAGAGACTCTCTTCCTCAAACCTTTAAACATAGTTTTTTCAGTGATTGTCTCTTCTATAATCACTGTTATAATTTCTTTAATTCTTTCTATTGTTAAAGTTCTTGCCTTATACTGGTCAACCAGCTGTTTTCTTTTTTCCTGTGTAATGTATTCAGAACAAAGAATTTCCCACACCGTTAATGTCTTGCCTTTATACTTCCCCGAATTTATATTTACAGTCACTTTTTTTAGTTCATTTTCTGTTTCCTCATCTGTATGGAATGAACTTCCTCTTTCTTGTAGAGGAAGAAGCAGCAAGCCTGTGGCGGAATTCTTTACACATTTTGCTTTCAGCTGAAGGTAGGTAAGATTTTCTTTAGTGTTTGGATCCAAAAAGCCCCTTGTGTCATCACTGGGATCAGATAAAATTGATTTAATTTCTTCATCAAAATATCCTCGTTTGTAGGCAGCTCTGACAGGTATGCGATGGCTGTTAATTGGATCAATAATTCCACCTGTGGCAATTTGTGCTTCAAGAAGACGGATTCCATGGCCTTTCATAATGTATCCTTTCTTCATGGCTTGAAACAGGGATAGTGTCTCACCCGTGCATGGATCTGTATATCCAGTCACTGCACGTTCAGCTGAGAGTAAGGGTTCGTGAAGCTCTGGACCTACGACTCTTTCTTTCACTGCCTCATCTACAGAAAGATATTTGTTTTTTATTGGATCAATAATAAATCCTGTGGCTGCTTGTGCCTCAAGAAGTACCAGAGCAGTACCAGGCATTAGAAGGCCTTTAGCCTTTGCTTGATAAATACTGATAATTTCTTTAGTAGGTTCTAGGAGAACACCTGCAACACTTCCTGTCCCTTGTAAGTATTGTTTCACAGATTCCTGTTCAGCCACTTCTGTTATAGTCTTCTGACCTAGTTCAAAATCTTTGATAGTTTCTTCATCAATAACACTTGCCTCCCTTAACTGTAAAAGAGAGACCTTTTTTCTCAGTCCTTGCAGTGTCTGTTGAGACATTTTTTTCCTTTCCACTTCTGTAATAGTTGTAGTAATTACAGTGATGATTTCTTGAATGGTAATCCTCTGTGAGCTGTATTTCTCAATCAAATCTTGTCTTTGATCTTCATTAAAGTATCCAGACTGAATCAGCTCCCATAGAGTCACAGTTTGCCCAGAGTAGCTTCCAGTTGAAACATTAACTGTATTCTTCAGAAATTCATCCTTTATTTCTTGATCAGTCCTTGATTGCACTGTAGCTTCCTTTGTTTTGATTTTTTCTGTAATTGGTAGAAGAAGATGGCCTGTTTGGGGATCTTTGATGCACCTCTTTATTATTTGTGCATAGGTTAGGTTTTCTCGTGTGTTGGGGTCAAAAAACCCTTTCGTGTCATCACTGGGGTCTAAAAGTATCTGGTTTATCTCTTCATCAAAATATCCCAGTGAGAAAGCAATATCAAGAGGCAGATGGAGGCTTTTCAAAGGATCAATAATGCCACCAGTGGCAATTTGGGCTTCAAGTAAACGAATGCCATGCTGTTTCAAAATGAGGTCTTTCTGCATTGCTTGAAACAGTGAGATTTTTTTGCCTGTGTAGGGATCAACATAACCAGTCACTGCTTTCTCCGCAGACAGAAGCTTCTCATATAGTTCAGGCCCAATGACTTTTTCTCTCACAGCCTCATCCACTGTTAGGCGTCGGTCCTGAAGTGGATCAATTATAAAACCTGTAGCGGCCTGTGCTTCCAAAAGACAAAGAGCTGTGCCTGGTGTCAGAAGACCTTTTTTTTTAGCTTGGTAGATGCTCAATTTTTGATTGGAAGACTGAAGCACTATCCCAGCCACACTGCTACTGCCTTTTAAATATGTTCTTACTGTGTCCATCAGCATAACTTCTTCTTTTGTCAGGTTTCCCTTGATCAATTCATCATATATATTTTTAGTTATTATTTTTGACTCCACAAGATCAACAACCGAGATTTCACCTCTAAGACCTTCAAACGTAAGGTTGCTTTGATGTTTGAGCTCTGTCCTTTCAATGATGGTCAGGATGGTTGTAATTATTTCTTCTATTGTAATTTTCTTGGTCTTGTACAATTTGAAAAGTTCTCTTCGTTTTTCTTCACACAAGTATTCAGAATTGATAAGGTCCCAAACAGTAACAGACTTGCCACTAAATCTGCCATATTTGACAAGTACAGTCTTGGCCAGAAATGTATCTTTTATCTGCTTATCCATGTTGAATCTCTTGCTTTTATCTTTGAGAGGTAAAAGGCAAAGACCTGTGCTGGAGTCAATAATACATCTTTCTTTGAGCTGCATGTACGTGAGGTTCTCCTGGGTGTTGGGGTCAAAGAAACCTTTAGTGTCATCAGTTGGATCACAAAGAATCTGATTCATCTCTTCATCAAAATAGCCCCGTTTGTAAGCTACATGAACAGGAATGCGTAGACTGTTTACAGGATCGATTATGCCTCCGGTTGCAATCTGTGCTTCTAGCAAACGAATTCCATGATCTTTCACAATAAGGTCTTTCTTCATGGCTTGAAAGAGAGAAATTTTGTTACCATTGTAAGGATCCTTATAGCCAGTTACTGCTCTTTCAGCTGAACATAACTTGGCATGAACGTCTGGCCCTATAATCTTGGCTTTTGCAGCTTCATCAACAGAGTACTTGACATTCGCAATTGGATCTATAATAAACCCGCTGGCAGCTTGAGCCTCTAAAAGAATCAGTGCTGTTCCAGGCATGAGTTTTCCTTTTCTTCCAGCTTCATAGATAGTCATTACTTGGCGAGAGTCAGAGAGAACAACACCAGCAATGCTTCCTGTCCCATGCAGGTATGTTTTCACCACTTCGTCCTCAGTAACATCTTCAGCTGTCTTTTTACCTTGCTTCAGTTGGTCAAAAATATTCTCGGTAATAATTTCTGACTCTAGAAGTTGCTGGGCAGTAACTGTTTCCCGAATCCCTTCAAAGACAGCCTTTGACGTTTGCACTGAATATTCAATAGCCTCAGTGACCTTTGTAATAATTGATTTGATAGTAAGGCTGCCCTCCCTATATTTTTGAATTATGTTCTGCCTTTGTTGTTCATCAAAATAGTCCGACATCAACAATTCCCAGATTGAGACTGTCTTTCCCATAAATTTTCCACAATTTAATGTTACTTTCACCTCTTTGAGAGTTGTTTTAATGTTATAGTCAACAAAGCAGTAGCTTTCTGATCCAGTCTGTTTTTGAAGTGGGAGTAGACAAAGCCCTGTGGCCAGGTCAATCATGCAGCGATCCATCAGCTGCAAATAAGTCAGGTTTTCTTTTGTGTTAGGGTCAAAAAAGCCTTTGGTGTCATCACCTGAATCTTTCAGGATGCCATTCATAACTTCATCAAAATAACCTCGCTGATAGGCTACATCAACTGGCAATCGGTGACTGTGTATTGGGTCAATTATGCCACCAGTGGCAATCTGAGCTTCTAGCAGACGAATACCATGGTCTTTAACAATGAGATCCTTTGCCATTGCCTCAAATAAAGAGATTGTTTTACCTGTATAAGGGTCCTTATAACCATTAACAGCCCTTTCTGCTGAAAGTAATTTTGCATGAAACTGTGGTCCTATAAGTTGGTTTCTTACTGCTTCGTCTACTGTGAATGTTTTGTTCTTCACAGGATCAATCATAAATCCAGTGGCAGCTTGTGCCTCTAGAAGATTCAGTGCTGTTCCTGGCATGAGTATGCCCTCTTTCATGGCTTGATATATGCTCATTTTTCTATTAGATGACAAAACTATTACCCCAGCAATACTTCCTGTGCCCTGGAGATAGCCCTTCACTGTTTCCTCGAGCATGACTTCCTCTACAGTCACTTTACCTTGCTGTAAGTCTTCAAACATCTTTTTATCTATGATTTTAGATGCCAGAAGGTCTGCAGAACTCACCCCTTTTCTCAGGCCTTTAAATGTAATACTAACAGGCAAAAGGAGCAAGCTAGTGTCAGGATCTACCATGCATTTATCTACTAGTTGCTGATATGTAAGATTTTCTTGTGAGTGAGGATCAAAATACACCTTATTCTCATTCAGCTGGTCAGCAAGTATCTCCTTTTCAAAGTATCCAAGTTGACAAGCAGCCTCCAGAGGAATTTTGTGTCCTTCAATGGGATCAATAATGCCCCCTGTTGCTAACTGGGCTTCAATCAGCCTGATTCCATAATCTTTTGGAATGAGGTCTTTTTGTAAGGCTTGGAAGATGGAGATTTTTTGGTTAGTATATGGATCTGTGTAACCAGTTACTCCCCTTTCGGCGGCAAGTAGTTTTTCTTTCATTTCAGGACCCACCAGACCTGCATTCACAGCATCTTGAACAGAAAACCTTTGATTATGTATGGGATCAATGATTCCACCAGTGGCTGCTTGAGCTTCCAGCAGTGCTAAGCTTGTTCCTTGTTTCAGTAGGCGCTTTTTCAGGGCTTGATAAATTGTCATTTTCTCCTTTGACAATTCAAAGAATATCCCAGCCACGCTGCCTGTGCCCGCGAGGGACTGGTGAACCACTGTTGGAGTCATCTTCGGGTATCGTATTGTCTCTTTTTTCGTCTTTAATCTGCGTTTTTGGAAAAAGAGAAATGATGACACTACTCTTCTCAGATAGTGGAAGAATAGCTGCTTCTTTAAAACCACAATACTTCATTCATAGAATAAAAAGTCTTTCTCAAAATATATTTTTTGATAATGCTGCAAATTGTGCTTTCTAAAAAATATTTATTTTTTCAACTTAATAATTGGGTTTCCAACCGTTCACCCTTTAAACATTTTTAATTTGAGCTGTGGGAGGAAACTGGAGCACCTGGAAGAAATCCACATCAACATAGGTAGACCATACAAACTCCACATGTTGTATCCAGGGCACCCAAACTGCGAGGCTGCAATGCTAACCAATGTACCACCGTGTTGCCCACATCTAAATACCTTAATGATTTATCTTGTGATTCATTTACTGTATATGTCATATATATTTGAAATTAATGTTGTACAATAGTGTGGTCATACCATGGGTTTTTATGATGTTTAACATTTATATCCATGTTGATATTAGCTATTAGCTTGCAAGACTGTAGCTATCGGTCAATTTCTAAGTAACCTTTTCCTGTATTTAATTGTTGCTTCACAATAACCTTTGGTTTTGTGGTAAAACAGTACAGACTGCACTGTTTTATGTGCTCTGCTGTGTAACTATTTGCAGTTTGTACTATCACACAAAAATTTGACTGCACTGTTCTATACATTACAACTACAATGGCAGCTGTTCATCTTTAGGGAGAAGTTTGAAGTAATTAACAGTTATGTGCAGATGAGACTAAATAAGGTAGTCATTTGTAATAAATAGCTTCATATTTTTTCAATTATATTTATTGTTAATGTAGTGATAATAAAGTGTTTTTTCATACTTCCACCTTCGCTAAATCTCACAGAAACACCTGAGGTGGTTTACCATCTTTACAGTGACTTAAAAGAAAAGGCAATATCCACAAATATTTCAATACGTAGAGAAATAACACATTGTAGACATACCGGATCCAGCATAAAATACTGTTTGTTCTTCAGATGATCTTTACCTCTTGTGCAGTTCCGTAAGAATCAACAAACTGATAAAAAAAGAAAAACAAGATGTTCAAATTGTTAGTAATACCATAGAAGTTAAAAAAAATTACAATTTACAGCTGGTTATGAGTATTTCTTTTGTGTGATATTTATATAGCTGAAGGTAATTGCATTGAAGACTCTGTCTTGTATTTGTTATCAATTTACTAAAATACTGACTACATATTTGCAAAAATATTCTGTGAAATAGCTTGTAACAGTAGTAATGGTATTTAGCTTTGCATGTACCTTCTTGATCTTCTGGGATTTTCTGGTGATTCTGTTAATGGTTTGTGTTGTACTGTATGTTCTGTGCCTGATTCTCAGAAAATAGGAATTGTAATCTTTCGCAAAGATTAATTTTCATTTAGTTTAAATGGAAAACCAAAGACAAACAACATTTGTTCACTTAAATGATAGAAAATGTAGGTTATATACACCAGTCTTTAATTACTGGTCGCTTTAAAGCTAAGTTTTCAAAAGTCACAATTAAAAAGCATAGATGAATAAAACTACCAAATGTTATTGTGCATAATTGAAATTAAGTAGCTGTCTTACAGAGCTTCTGCTAGAATAACTGTAATTATTAGTGCCTTCATATATTTTTTTATTTGATAATAAAGCTTGTACAGTATGTGGAATAATGTAACTGGATTCTTCAGTTGTTAAACCTCCCACCCCAGATTTGACCAAACTCCTTAACTACAGTATATACTGTTTTTCTAATTGTGGGTTGTTTTAATATTTACAAACTAAGGGGACACTGTAACTGTAAGCCGTGTTTCTTCCAGCTTCATATGCCTGCAGTGGAATATTAAAACAGTATCAGAGTCTCCCTGTTTAATAGACCTGGACTATCGGAGTTAAACTATGACATATTTGGCATTTAGGACACAGGACATTCACACACTTTATATGGTTACTGGATAAAAAACCCATAATGATTATTTTAGAATGCATGATTTTATAATCCGATTTCCTTCTCCTCACAAAGGACAATACAATCTTGTTTGTGCTAGAGGTGTGGGGGGTCTTTATAAGAAAATCTTAAAAATAAAACATAATTAAGATAAATATATCTAATAAACTTTTTCATACTTACAGCACAAGACAGATCTAAAAATAGTACTATATGATAGAACTGTCGTTCAAGAGCAACAGACCATGTCTATGTACACTACGAAGGCTTATGAAAGTAATATTTGACACCAGGACAAAAGGTATTTGTGTTAACTATTTAAAATAACCTGGTATACTTTGTATATGACATAACTGCTCTAACAAAAAAAATGTAAAAATATTTTTCACTAGTATCCTTCTACCTGTCCACTTTCATAAAGACTCTTCCTATAAAACAATATCGATGTTACTTACTTTGATGTAACCAGTCTAAAGCAGAACTGCTTTTCAAAATTCCTCTAAGACCAATTAAATAAATAACATGATTCATCTTTCATCACTGTTAATATAGTCATTACTCCTAGTTTTTAAGCTGAATTCCAAACACCACCTTATGAAGGTCAGGGCAAATAATTGGCATATATGTTTATAATATATCAAAGATATTAATTGTACTCCCAATGTCAATTGCATGTTGTGAAAATCTTTACAAACAGGCCTGATGAATCTTACATCTTAAATGCCATGTGAACATTCCAGTCTAATGTACTCATACTGTAAACTAAACATTACATCAAAATGATCTCAGTTCAGACACATAAAACAGCTTGTTTAACAGCTAGTCTTGTCAAGTCCTAACAACAGCAGAAATAATGGGAGCTCTTTGTCACTGAGAACCTGGAACATGTAGCAACAGGAGTCAAATTCAGTTAATTCATGAAAGATCAGGAAGCACAGGAAGACAAGAAGACACCTCTCCCTTTTGTGTCACTGAAGGCTTTGAAAGTGAGCAAGATGCCGCCAGCAAATACATATTTATTGGTGGATGAGAGGAAAAGCTTGTAAATCCACAGCTGTGTTTTCTCTGTCATATTGTAGCTGACCCTTGCCTAGAGCTGCCTTGAGATCCTTTTGCACAGATATGAGGGAAGAGCCCTTTGAGCACAAATAGCCACCCAGAGAAGGAGAAAGAATGTTTAACTTTCCCTTTCTTTGTTTTATTGGAGTTGTGTTAAGAAGCTCATTCTGAAAAAAAAAACAACACCCACACACAAAAAAAGACTAGGAGAATAGTTGTTGTTTTTTCCTGTGTGATAAATGATTTTCAGTGTTTTGTTGCAAAAGGAAATGTAATAATGTTACAAAACAAAAGTAAACAATTTTCCTTAACATATCTAAATCTGGAGAAAGAGGGTGTGGCTGTTTGAAAAATATAAAAGACTAAACGAATATTTTCCTGTATTATTTTGTGTAAATCTTTTTTAAGTTTACTCAGTAGGCAATTAAGGCAAGGAGAGAGTATACTTTTGTGAGATTTGTGTTTGGTGGGAAATTTAATTTTGCTTTAGTATAACCAGCACAAGCTACGTGACTAAAGAGAGGTAGAATAGAATGAGCAGGACGGGATGAATAGCCTTCTCTCCTCTGTGACGTTCTGATTCCCCCATCTTTCTCATGTGCTTTATTCCCCAGCTGAACACAAAATCATTTGTAAGTGCTGCCAAGCACAGGGTCCATAGGTAACAGGTTTTAAAACTTATGCCACTAAATTCAATACAGAGGCCCCACTCTCACGGCATGTGAAAACATTGTTTCAACATTTGTTAGACGAGGCCTAACAATAACAGTGAGCTGGAGAGTTTCATTTTCATTAGGACAAATGAAGAATAATTGATATATTAGATGCCTTTTCAATATTTATGATCTGTACAGGGATTGGATGCTTGCTGTTTAGATTATGTCATACAGTTTATGGGTCCAGCCCAGGATCTTGTCTTGAAAGAATCAAGAAAGAATCAAGTCAGAAGCTGACCTAAGGGCAGGCGTGCAGTACATCAAATGTTAGAGGGATGCTGCAGTGAGGGACAATTTTGACCAATTTTGAAACAACTGGTTCTCATCCTTGTCCTGTAAAAATCATTTCAAAATTATCAAGAATTTCATAATTCGTTTAGTTTGTTTCAGGAAAGGTGTGTTATACCGTTCTGATGAGGGTTGAAAAGAATCTTTGTGGTTGTATATTCTGAGAATATTTCCTATTAGGCACAAAGCACTGAAAACGTCTGTCTTCCTGAAATTGTATCTAGCTAACATGTTTTATTATAATCTATGGAAATTTCTGCTCCTTATGAACATGTTTTTGGAAGCAAATGCCTAAAATGCACAAACAATATTTGCCCTTTGGCCAAGGCTATTTAACTGTGTTTGAAGCTGTGTCTTCCATATAAATCAATGATGTATAGATACAGTATAATATGCAATCTGAATGGCATCATTTTAGGATCCTCAAAGGATCCTTGTAATTTTAAATAATTACATTTGGAAGAGCTGAGGTGCGCCATTATTTCACTGCTCTACACATGATGTTTCTCAAACCCAGAACTAGAGTTAACAACTACAAAAAGGCTACTCATAGTTTTTCACTCATCTCCTTGCTTGCAAATCATATTGATCTGTAACAAGCTGCTATGCTGAACACAGACTTTCTACTCAGATCATTCACTTACTGCCGTACACTGACATACTGTACTCGGGTGAATACTTCCTTAGATCGCAGGAAGTGGTTTGAATTCATTTAATGACTTAATTGTGCTAAGACAGGTTTTGGCTGCACATATCTAGGTATGGAATTGTAAGACACTCTAAAATGGTGAAAATCAGATATATGGATTTTGAACTTTAATCTGTTTTTCACTTAAACACACATATATTCCCTTTTCACAAAAGCGAAACAGGTATTCTCAGGTGACAATTATTTAATTCGGTTCTAATCATTGGTGTTAAATAATGTGGCTTAGAACTACAACTTTTCAGCTAGCATTGTCTCTGTAATATGTTCACATACTTCAAACAACACTGTGGGGCCAGAGTGTAAACTTCAGAGTTAAGCCAGATGGTGGAACTGACACACCTTATGCTAATAACACGGCAGCCTTACAAACACCTGTTCTGCTACATTAACGCGTAGCTGCTCAGGAAGATGAGGAATCCTGATTAGCCTGAAGCTCAGGCCCCTACAGCAACGCAGACACCTCTGCTGTGGCTCATAGTCAGCTAATGATGACTGGAACCCACAAAACTTTTCCATATTTACTAATTGGGCCGCTAAGGAAGTCAATAGGTATATCATCTTTATGGAACAAGTAATAGGTTTATTCCATGCTGAAAAGAGAAGAAAGAAAACACAGCATTTCGACTCTGGAGTCTTCTTCGGGTATAAAGCGACCTGAACTACCCAACTGAACTATATCATCTTTATGATCCTTGATTTTTTCTTAACTGTGAAGATATCATACTATTTTATTTTTAATACCTCTTTAACCCCTAAAAGCCACACTTTTGGTGGGTAACAAAATTTTTTTTTGTTTTAATCCGCGGCATAGTTTTGTTCCCATGCATTTAATTGTCTGAATGTATTTATTCCTTTTGTTTAATGCCACTCTACATTATGCATTTTGTCTGAACCATTCCTAAATTTTTGTAGTGAGTGTAAATGAAAGTAAAGGAGAGAAAAGTTTCCTTTAGTTTGAGAAAGAAAAGAACCTGTTGTTTTATAGATTTCTTGTTGTTTTAGATTTTATAGGTTGAAAACCTTCTAAAATCTGACCAATGTGACCAATTTAGTAAAATACATGGTGTCTTTCTATGCTTTGGTGTGAGCTGCTAAAACTCTGACCTTTGGCAGATGTCTAAGCTAGATAACTCCCTTAAACATTTCCTGCTCTCCAAAAACTTCAAACAGTGCTTGATAAATTGCCAAAAAGTTCAAATGAACAGCACTGTTTTGAATAAAGCTCGCCTATATACATTGACTTCTATTTACTTTCTGACGGGTTTTGCTGGAAGGTGTGATGTTAAACGGAACACGTAAGCCAGGTACAGTATGATAAAGGGAATGTTTTACTTGGGACAGCATCATACTTGAAAAGCAGCCTAAAAAAAGAGAAAGCAACAAGCTCTTTTTACAAAGACTTTAAAAATCTCACAATCGTGAGTTTATTTGTAGAGACATGTAACAACTCAAGCATTTAAAGGAGGAACAACTCCTGCTAGAATTGCACTTTTAAACTAAACGTTCAGAGTCTCGAAACATATTTTGTTCTAGAACTTTTTTTTTAAATCTTTCTAAATCTTTTAAATCTTTTTTTCTGAAATACATTTGTGCATTTCCTCTCAATTCTAAATAAAAGCTAGTCATTTGCATGGAATGCATACCACATTTGATGTGCACACTTCTTATAGTTTTAATAGTCCTATTAATTAACCAGTTTTATATTAAAGCAAATAAATGTTTTTGTACAGAATTCCCGCCTCGATGTATGGATATTTAAATTACCGTTTAAATGTAATAGCTGTTAAGTTTAAGTTTGACCGCATGGGAAAACCAGTTTCTTCCCTTCAGATACAGGGTATTACCATTTGAAAAGTATTTAAGCTAAGTTCCTGTAAAAACAAGAGTGGGAGTGCATTGAAGCAAATTCTTTGCAGTTTCGGTGTTAGGCAAGAAATTACGCAATGCCTGCTTAGCAACATTGAAAGATGGAAAACTAAATCTCTCTCCGCTCCAGAATTCCATAGGAAAAAACCCTGAAATGAACATGCCCCTCTAACTACTTTCATAATGTATTTTTTAGGTAGCAGATAAAATAGATGTAATTTAAAAACGAATTCCTCATCTATTGCACAACCACAAAGCTTGTGTATGTTTCCTCTATCAATAACCTATATTCATGTTTTTCAGTATTACAAATATGTCTAAGAACAATGTTAGACTTTCACTTTGTAGTTTCTTGGTAGACTTCAATCAGAAAACAAAATCATATAACTTAATGGTTCACTTTAGTATGTGCCACTCCTAGCAAAGTGAATCAGAGTACTATTAAATTGCATATAATCAGCTCAAACTCTGCACTCTGCAGAGAGATGTAACTCCAGAAAAAAACTAAAGGACACATTTCAGAGCTATCTCTTTGTGAAATAGCATAATGAAAAACAACAATTTAAAATTTTCAAGTAGGTAGCTGTGTCAGCATGTGTAGGCTGCAATGAAATAAGTAAAGGTTTATTCCATGCTGAAAAGAGAAGAAAAGAAACACGTTTCGGTTATGGAGCCTTCTTCCACAGCCGAAAAATTGTGTTTTTCTTCTCTTTTCAGCACGGAATAGACCTTTACTTGTTCCTTATTTAAAAAGTTTTCAATTATGTTTTAGTGTGCTTTAGAAGATTTCAAAATTAAGTGTTTCTATTTAAAATTGCGCGCAAAGCAATTTAATAGATAAAGTTGTTCTAAATGTAGCAGAAGATTTAAATGTGCAATTAAAATCAGTCTTTTGTATGTGAGAGTATATGAGCTCAACATTCAAACATGCATGGCCAGAACATTAAAAGGCATTTAAGAAAACAGTTCAATTTAATGATTAACTTAGTATAATAAACGTTCTAACATGACAGCAGCATTTCAAAACCAGATTGTTTTGGCATTTTATTTAATCACTGACCAAAGTTCACCCCTGAGGTTCAGAGGATTAAAAATAATGAAAAACAAATTATCTGCTTGTTCACACTTGCTTTTAACTCTAATTTTAACAACGCACATAAATGTATTTTCTCCATTTAAATAATTTTACTTATTATTATCACAATACTAATTGCAAGTCTATTGCTATAATGGGTGAAAATGGCTTGCCAGTATGCTACAGGCAAAATGAATGTAATTAACAACTTTGAATTTTCTAAATCTGGCCCAGGATCCAATGACTTAACCTGCAGCCACAATTTGATCTAATCAGGTGTGTCAATCAGATCTCTAGAGAAACTTGCATTCAATTGCCACAGTAAATGGATTTCTAGAATTCCAAAAGCCACATTCCAATGCAAGAACTATCCTAACATCTTAAAGCAAGACAAACATGTTTTTCAATTGATGGTACTGTATGACTGTTATAAATCATAAAAAAACAAAGTGCAATTGCCCTTACTGCAAAGGGAGTTAATTATGACAAACTGTGGATTTTACATTTGCTTCCTAGATATTTATAGCACAAGAAATGCACCTATGACTTTGACACCAACACTATAATCGTCAAAGTTTAGACTGTATTCTATATTTAGTGTCATTAATCAAGTGATAATATAGAATAGAAAATGCTGATGTAGAGGACATGTAAATAGTGTTGTTTTAATTCAATTATAACACCTCCAGACACCTTTTTTTAGTGTGTTTTGCACATTAAAATGTTCATTTACCAAAATAAATAACTTATTCATGTCTCAGATGTCTGTTTGGGATTTTGCCTTGTGAGCTAAGACGTACGGATGCTTCCTTTTTCTGAAATTGACCCTCCCAAAATTTCTAGAAAATACCTGGTACAAAAATGACTGAAGAGGCTGGCTAAGCTAACACATGTGAGCTGTTTATGGTATAAAAATGTCGCCACAAACTCACAATTAATCCTCCATGTGACTGATTGTGTGTGACTGATTGTGAAGGCAATTGGAATCTATTGTTGTAAAGGCAATGTACTGTATTAGGTGCAAACGAATACTAACATACCTGCAAGAGTGGCTCCACAGAGTATAAGGACTGAGGTCTTCCTAGCTGAATCTGGAAATGCAGACTGCTACTTTGGCTTTGAGGCAGTGCCTAAAGATTCAGGAGCTCTGATAAATACACTGAACGGTTGCTCCACCCCCAAGAACACCTTCAGTTTCCAAAGAAGAGTAACAGATATTCTAAAACAGAACCCTGGTCTTAAATTCCTTTGCTTATCTAGGACTGATCTATTTTTTCTTTTTTTTTTACTATTTTGACAGATTCACAGAAAATCCTCTGATCTACTGTGGTACTGACAGTATGTGTCATATATAAAACTGGCATGTTGGATTCTTTTTTTAACAAATAGAGGCTGGAGGATTGTTTTTGTAAAACTTAAAAGTTAAAAAAAAAACTCTCCCCTTTGTGGAATGTAAAACCCCCACTGTCTTACAAGCTAAGTGCCTGCTGTGCACAATACGAGACTGAGTCTCATTAGCTTTCGGGTGCTAAATCAAATCATATCAAATCAAATCAAAGTTTATTAATCACACAACTGCTTGATGATAAATCAAAATTGAAAAAAATGATCCCTCTTTGAATTCTGTATGTTAAACAAGACCAGTGCAGTAACATCCTGTTCTCATGAAACAAGTTTCTTTCAATGAAACCAGCTGTCATATAATTACACACCCAGAAGCTATTACATCAACAGAGAAAGTTATGCTCCTTTCTGTATACTGCATCTTGTAGTAACTGAGTTGTGCATTACAATGACACAATATTTGCCTCATGCAAGTAGAATATGAAATGAACAACTTAATCTTAAATAATAAGCCAAATTCACTATACTAGTGATCTTATCACTTTCATCTTTTATTGTTGATATAAAAGAAACTGGAAAATGTCTTATATTTTTCAACTTAAAGAAGTGTTTTTATGTTTCAAGGCTTTTGATGGTTCAACTCTCTCAACTTTAACTTATTCAGATTGGTAAACATCAGAACACATTATTTCGCAAATCTTAGTTCAGCCAAGAAAACTGCAACAGCACTTTTTTGAGACAAAATCAAAAGTGAATCATGTGTCAATGATTTCCTTTGTGTGTAAGAATATTACATTAAATATGGAAATAGCTCATATCTCACAAAAAAATCAGTGATGTCAGTTAATCAGAATGCAACCGGCATATAAAAAATGCCACTCCTATGGTGAGGCTTGGGATGAAGTTATTTCTCTCACACTCCCAAAAATGATTTACACCTACAAATGGCAGGAAGAAGTGATGCAAATAACTGATGTCTGTAGGACTCTGGTCAAAACCTGTTCATCAGATGTTGCTGAGTCTTCTGAAGGAAGTCAGTCCTATCTGATTACCCTATTTTAATTCTCAAGACTCCTATCTGATCCATAGACAGTGCCAGCTTGTTTGAAATGGTTAAGACACTTAAAGTTAAAAAATAATAAGTTTAAGGTAACTAAACAGCACATCAATAGCTCTGATGTCAACATTTATTTTAACATTTTTTAAGTGAAAACTTTCACCATGAAATGTTTTTAGTCAAATAATTGTGACCAAAATGTATTTTTACAATGTGGTTTACACAAAATGTCCCCCCCCCCCCCATTTTATAATCCTTTATTTAACCAGGTAAATCGATAGAAAATAAATTCTCATTTATATGGTGATCCATTTATCAGGGGTTTAATCTTGGGTAAAAGTGTAGTTACTTTAGGGTAAACTCAAAGTATCCTTCTCAAAATCAACTTGAGTGAAATACAAAAGTGTGACCTCTGAAAAGTCTGAAGTATCGGAAATAGAAAGTAGCCACCCTTAAATTCTATAACTGGAAATCTGCTGTAATCCTGAATTACACACCAGTTATATTTATCAAAAGCTGTCACACACATTTCCAGTCACATTTAAATCTCACATCAGAAACTTAAATTAAAATAACAATCTTTACCCATAAAAAATACAGGTAGAATCAAGTGTTACAGATGTGAAATCAAGGTTTGAAAGTGCCTGTAGATCCCAATTACTCTTCTAAAGTAATAAATGCATCCTTCACAGTCCAACAAGAGAGACTATAATAAACACAGATGAGTCCATTTTAACCTTTTTTATTTTTCACAATCAAAAGCATGAATTATTTGTAATATTTTGCCAATTGTTAATGCCTCTACTGTTTTTTTCAGCTGCAGAATAAGATGGTTTTCTGAGACTGCTTTCCTGGATTATATAAGAGTTCAGCAAGGTGGAAGAGCTTTTCAATTCACAGGAACCTGAGGCAGGTAGATGCATGTTACTCCTCTAGACATACTTCCCTGTTTGTGAAGAATGACCTCAGCAGATCTTTTGTCTGTCAATTATGTATTCAAATATTATTGCCAACAGGCCAATTATCTCTCAAGCTGTTTGCCACTTTGTGTACAAGATGACTTCATAGAAATACTGTCTAATTTAATAAACAACACACAACATTTTGCATTGCCATATTCTCGTTGAACAAATGGTTTTAAACAATCAAGGTCAAAAAGTAAGAAAAAGTATGTGAACCCTTATATTTATTAACTAGTGGCAATAACCTCAACCTAACGCTGACCTGCGCAGCGGTTAGGAGGTATTTTGCCCCATTCCTCTGTACAAAACTGTTTCAGTTAATGTTTATTTTTGGGATGTCTTGCTTGAATGGCCTACTTCAGATCACTGGGTTTTTTATCCCAGATGATCCTAAAGTGCTTTGTTACTTTAGAAGGAGACCAACCTTTTTTGAAAGATGCAAGTGATGTGCCCAAACAAACATGGAAATAATCTCATAGATATCCTCCTGAGGTCAGTGTTTCCCCATCTTACATCTATGGTTTGTTTTGCCTACCTCCTTGTGATATACCACACTTTAAATGCAGCCTACATACTTGTATGAAGTCAGCCATGTACTGCATGTTGTTTGCTATGTGTGTGCCCAGTCTTTATTTTTGTACATGGATTTTTAAATTTCATTTGCTAACTAAAATATTTGCCAATCCTAATTTGGCATCCTCTGCAAACATAACTCATATGTTAACTAACTATACAAGATCTGTGGTAGATCGGTAATATAATTTAGGAAGAGTGCTGTCTTAATACAGATGCCTGTGATTCACTGCTGCAGTTTTCATCCTGATTTAAGCATTCAAATTGCTCTTATTTTTACTGCTTCCTGTCCATTAACCAGTTAATCCAATACCGATACTGCCTGCACTTTAAGAATGGAACATCAAATTAAAGTTTACTACACATTGTGTCCTTTACATTTTGTTGAAAGACCCTTAACAAGTTTCCTAATCAAGACCTAATTCCTACGTACATTCCTACAAGTACTTAGGGGTACACCTGGATGATAAGATGGAGTGGTCTGGTAACACTGACGCCTGGATGTTGGGAGTCTTCTAGGATGCTCCACATGCTGCAAATCACAGGCTTGAGGGTCTTATTTCAGTGTTTAATAGGATTTTTTTTTATCTATTAAAATGTAAGATCTATCTTGATTAAGGGAAACTATTCTTTTTGGTAATGAAATGTAGACCAGCTCTTTCTGTAAATATGAAATAGGTCCCTTTGCCTTCATTTAAATCAAACGGTTTAGTTTTTAGCAAACAATGGCTTCCTGTAGCAACAACCTAGTGTTACAGTACCTGATAGCCATTGACATATATGTGGCTGGTGTAAACATGGGCATACTCTGTGACACATGACTATTCTTCTAAGCAAGGTCTATGAGCATTGAAAATTCCCTTTTGAAGCCCAATCACACAGTTAAAACTAATTTTATCAGCTCTAAGAGCTGTAAATTACTACCAACATTAGTTTTCCTCCAAGTACTATTTCTAAATCTTACTTTATTAACATGTTTTTTTTAAATGCTGGAGTGCAAAGCAGTATATCAAGATTAGTTGCTAATTACATGGTTGAAGATGTGTTTGACACATGTGTGTTTGAATTTCTTGCATGAAGGCATGCAATTCGAGCTCGGCCCTTTTTTAAATAACTGGCAGAGCTGCATTTTTAAACAGACACCCCCATTCAAACAGATTGCGGTTTAACATGATCATTAACATCTACAAGGGAAATGTCATCCCACACACCTAGCTCTGACTTGTGATTTGTCTTGCTCACAACATAAGAAAGGTCAAAAAGAGACACCATTTAGCGAATCTCACTCATGTTTCTAGTAGATTATTGGCCCTGGATCTCATCCAACCATTTCTTGTAAAATAAAGTGACACCTGCAATTCCTTGTAGTTTCACTGTTCATTATGAAGAATTTCACTGTCATTTTGTGTCTTAGACGTTTAGAGGCAAGGGATAGCATTGACTGAAAAATTACAAAAAATGCAGTTTTTTTCTAGAAAACAAAATCAGGCATTTTTATTGTTTTTTGTATTACAAAACTGCTCAATGTATTATACAATACACTTTATATAGTAATTAGTAACATTCTACATTTACAGCAGGTTACATATAGGTCTTAGAATGCTAAATTGAGATGTATCACCTTTAACATGTATAGTACAGGCATCAGATGCATAGTGGTTACATAGTAGGCTAACGTTATATTTTAAATTTCCAGTTAATTTTAGCATGTTGTCTCTTTTAATCAGAAATACAGAAAATGTGCCCTTCTGTTAATGTGTATAATTACAATCTATATACCTTTTATCATATGACATGTCTCAGGAGTTAATTGGCAACACTGCATTCTGAAAAGAACCTATGTACACTAACCTTAACTGTTAGCAGCACTGAATTTTTTTTACAGTTTTAACTATACAACGTGTTGGAAATGAACACAAATTATAGGTGTCAACTTCCCTTTTGGAAATAACAAAAATAATCTGAAAGATAAACATGCAGTGCTCATAATGGAAACCAGATATTCATAATTGCAGATCAACAATATTTTTTATCAACATGTCCACGTATACATACTTTCTTTGCGAAAAAGTCTACACTTACTGTGTTTTTTTTTAATCTGAAAAGTTTTAGTTACTGCACTAGGTTGCCTAGATTACATGAATCAGGTCCAGGAGACTTAAAGTTAGTACATTTTAACTTTCTGTAAAATGAAAGTTGGGTTCTGCCAGCAGTATAAACCCCCCACAAATGAAAGAGAAATCAAATTTTGTTTTATTTACAGAAGAAAATAGAGAAAGTAAGAATAAAGCAGCAGAGGTCATTTTGATTTAAGAAGAGTGACAGGGAATAACAAATTTTCACTAGATTTAATAACACGCCTGTTAGCTAAAAGGTTTGAAATAATTCACAAAGGAATAATGACCTGAAAATATTTTGGAGAGCCGTCATCTTTTGTCCAAGTGAATCTGAGACTTGCTGCACAACATAAAATGGAAAATGATACAAATCCTAAAAATGCAAAATAACATTTTATATCTCCCCAAAAAGACAATGTTCATGGTATAATACTACACATCTAAAGTCATTATCTCTCTGTGTTTTCATTACTGCATGGCATCCCAGACAGTTTTCTCCATCACTGGGACACTTGGTATCAAAGAGGACCTTTAGGAATGTTGGAGATGTCTGATGGCTTTACCTGGATTTGCCTTCTTGATGGGCTGATTTTCGCCAAGTGTAAGTATACCCCTTATCATCATTATTGTAAGGGGCACCTCAGTGCTGCCTTATTTTTTCCCCTATTTTCAACCAGATGGATTAGAGTACACAATGTTTTATTTCCTTGTCCTAGGTGGCATTATTTAATTAATATTGTCAGTGGCCTTGCAGGTCATGTAAATAACTGGCAGAGCTACAATTCAACTCAAGCATGCCCCACTTATGTCTGAGTACTTACATTTAATACAGTTAACAAGTTCAATGATCTTGTTCAGTGATTTTGCACCTGTTGCATTCCATCGTCTGGCTTTTTGGTACAGATATAATGGAGAACCCGTCACGTCATTCTGTATAATGAATGAGGTCTTTTTTGTTACTGGAATAAGCCCTTGGATGTAAAGTGTAAAACAAAATTTTGTCGCTTAACACTTTCCAGCAAATCTATGTTGGAGTAAATGAAATGAACAATGGAAATGCAGATCGAAATTACACTTAAGTATAGACGTCTACGTATCTAAGAAAAGTCAACATCCGCAGACCTCCATTTCTAGAAAGAGACCCAAGTGAGTGTGTTTCCTTTTCTTTAATAAGTGTTACCAGTGATTTCTAAGGGGAAATAGATACAGCACATTCAGTAATATAATATAGTTAAAGACATAACTTTAACTATAAGAGTTTTCTTATTAAAAAACTGGAAATCTCCAACTGATATGAAATAATCAATATACCACAATATCTGACATTTGGTGAGGTCTAGGTTGCAGTGATATCTCTAATGATATCTCAAATTAGTGATCAAAAGTTTTAAAAACAATTTTGAAGTAATAATTTTCATGTCTGATTTCAAGAAGGGCAAATGGCAATTTGCTGTGGCTATAAAACATTAGTATAATCAACTCAATATAATTTTGACAAAAAATGTAAACATTTTCACGTTGAATCAAGCCGTGCCTCTAAAATTCATGCTTCACATGCCAAGAAATCTGCCTGCTTCTCAGGTAATTGGCAAAAATTGATAATATGCAGTTTCTGCAAAATTAAACGATAGACTTGTACAACTAAAAAGACCTTAAAAATCTCTATCAATTGAAAGATGTCCAATAATCAGTAGCCTAAGGAGTGAAGAACATATTCTGGAGTAACCTCTCCATGTGTTAACAATAAACTAGTTGTGGGTCTTCTTTCGAATGCTCGTCCGCTGAATCATCTAGTTATTGAGACTCAATTCTGTTCTCTCTGTTGTTTTCTTGCACTGAGGACCCCACTGTTTGGGCTTTTGACCGAATCTCTGCAGTCTTGAGGTCCTGAAGGCTGGTATAGCTTGTTGTCTGAATCTGAAGATCACGTAGGGAGTCTTTCTTTATCTTCTGAGAAGAAAATGGACACTATGATGATCATGTTAAAAGGAGATCACCATTCGCATTCACCAATTTTTCCAAAAGGAAAACACACCAATAAGTTTCTTTTTCATATTTGTCTTATCTTGATAAACAGTTCTCCAAATATAAAAAGCTCTTACCAAACTAATTGGATTCTGCTTTGACGCAGATTCCCAAACTATTTTTACCCCTTCATATTTATCACAGGATTTTTATTTGATCTTATTTTTTTCAGTATATAATAAAATGCTTGTGGTTTGCATGATTGCTTTTGCAATCCTGTAATGCAATACAGTACATCCATTTTAGAAGCATTTGCTGTTGAACCTGGAATCTGATCAACTATTCCACTAATGTTTATAATTACCTTTGCTTGAGGAGCCAGATTTCTCTTCTTCTGCTTGGGGCATCTCACCTAGTCGTGAAATAAGCACAGAGAGTATAGCACAAGAGATGTATCTATATTTTCTTGTTACAGATCAATGCCAGATAAGAGTAATGGATTATACTGAACTGTACTGAATAATAGTGCTGGATTAATCATGTTCACGAATGAGTACAAATTCACCTTTCTTGTTCTGCTCATATTACATATTTTCTTAAATTCCTACTCCAACAATGTAATTGGTGCAGTGATCCCTTAACTTTTTTGTTAAGGCAACAAAAGTCCTTTATGGGCGTAACCACTTGTTATATTCTCAGATGGATTTCTTCTGATTTGCAAAATAAAAGCTTCAGCATAGACACTATGAGGGATAATCAATATCAAATGACAGTACTGTAAAAAAGAGCTGCTTAGATTTGTCATTACATTCAGCATTTTCAGAGACTTGTTAATTTGTGTATTTTTTGTATTTCTAAGTACATAAATTACAGAACTGAGGAAGCCAATTGGTCCTTTGTGGTAAATTTGATAATATTGGCTTATGAATACAAGCACCTCATGAAACACTTATTTGCTGAGGAATCCCAGTGAATCTTCTTTACAATAAAGAGATTTTAAGCCCTTTCTTTCTTTTTTTGTTGTTTTTGTTTTCGAGTTAATAGAGTACCTGAGGGCCCTGGAGGGTCGCAGTCACTCGTGACAGCGAACTGGAGATCAGTCCCTAAAGCAGCAATGGAGCTCCTTGGTCGAGCACACCGGTCCCCTGAGAGACTCCTCCTCAGGACAGACTGAAAAGAAAATTCTCACTTTAAAAAAAACCTACAACTTTCCTAAGTACGTTACATTGTTAATATCACCTGCATAGTTCCCTTCTGTTATCTGTGAACACTGAAAAGGGCATCAATGCATATTTGCTAAAACATACTGGTACATTTACATTTTGTTTTACTGCTTGGTTAACTTTTTTTTTCTCTATATGGGTCCTAACTCGTCATCCTACAGACAGGCAGGTTAAGGGAAAACTAATCCCTAATAAACTCCTCAATAAACAATCCTAAAGGCATGATGTTATCCCTTGTGAAATGATCTTGCTGCTACAGATCACCTAAAACGAGAAACTTAAATTCTAAAAAATAAAATGGGAGAGCCAAGGTTGACTACCCTGGTCTGTGTATTTCTGGTCTTCCTTGTAAAATAGAATTATTCCTCAAGCATCGGTAACAGAGAGAACCACTAACAGAGAAAAGATCAAAGATAACGGAGAAAGACATTTCAGTGTGACATGTCGCTGCAGTTCTGCTGAGTTTGAGAGGAATAGCAGGTTCAGGCATTTTTGTGCCGAGATTGACCCACTTTGTTCAGTATTGGTCATTGTATTCATACCAGCAGTGGTACCTTACCTTCCTGGTCAAGGGGCTGCTGGGAGCAGAAACACTGCTGTACAGGCTCAGGCTGGAGTTGGACCGGCTTGCTGACAAGACTCTGGAGGACTGGTTTCCCCCACATCTCAGCGGGGAGGAGCCAAAAACATCTGAAGATAAATACTTCTCTTTTATCTTCAGATTTGTCCTGCCTTTAACTGTGAAAATACAATTTCAACAGCTTATACAGCAGCCTTAATCGTATAAGTTTAGTATATGTATTTCTGTCACACAAGAGTGTGCATGAAATAGCTTCTCCTCTAGTGCACATATACTCTGACTGCTGCCAGTCTTCTGATTTGTGCCATACTGGAAGTAGGCAAGCCTCAGGAAAATTTCAGGATAGGCTCTGAAAAACTCGTCACATTAAGAATTTACAAAACAATATTTAAAAAAATATTTAAAATCTATTTAAGATGAAGAAAAACAAATACAAATCTTCCATTTTGATGGTACGTTGGAGTTAAGGTTAGGTGGTGTGTTTATTGTGATCGTTTTTGTGATGTGATGTTTCAGGTTGCTATTCTCTTTTGCACTAGCCTCTGATTCTCTTCCAACAGTATATGGATGCACTTTGGAAAGGTGCACTTTTAGGAAACATGCAGTAGCACAGAACCATGAAGATAGTGCTCCAAGATTTTTTCTCCATCCACCTGAGGTACAGGACATTGTCATTGCGTGTCAGATTAAACCTCCTCCAATGACAATGGGGCTTTAAATATCACCTACCTTCAAATTTCCAGTGCTACAGATTTATATTTTAATGCTGGATTTGAAACAGCTTTCAATATGGATTACATCTAGTTAGAAAATATGACAATTCCAGACCTCTGTTCCACAGTTGTACCTATTACATAATCCTCACCTCTGCAAGGATCATTCTTTACAAGGAACTCATCCAGTGCTGTCCAGCCTCCTCCCACTCGTACCATAAGGGTGCTACGGAGAATTCGAACCATCCTCAGCTGCTGGGAATCACCAAACTGCAGGAAGTAGACAGGTCAGCTCATTTAAAACTGCAGGAACATGTACACTACAAAGTGATTTAATACCATACTGTATAAAACACTGGCATGTGCTGTAGCTGTGACCCATCCTGTTTAAAGTAGAAGTAGGAACGGCCTTTCTCTAGGTCAGCTCCAGCTTCAAGTGAGAGGTATGTACCTCAGGTTTCAGTTCAAAACTTTATAGAGAAAACTAGCTTATACCAAGGAGCTCCTATCTTTCTACATTAAACAACAGCCAAGACTACTATAACAACCATGCATTGAGACTTCTGCTAGTTTGTGCGTTCTGTTTCATGTTTTCATTCTTTCTGATTTGGTTGCTCAAATGGTTTCTCTCTTTACAAATCTAGTTTATTTGCATTTTTGCAAGTTCAAAAGTTACCACCTCTTATATTGAAGGGCTTCATCATTTTCTGCTTTTTTCTCTTTTTTTATCCTTTGTAATTACCTGATTGAAATAATTTTAGCTTAACTGTTCTAAACCTCCATTCTTTCAAGTCTTAAGTACTGTAGGTGCTACTCTAGATGTTATTATATATGTTGGTGCCATATGGCCAATGGTCCTGCATTTTAAAGTACCACTGTTTGTTCAGCTGTTGTTTCATTGGAGAGCACAGAGCATGACAAATGTTTCTAGCCATAAGGCAATATTGTAGTATGTTACTGAGCCATAAAATAATCTGAAATGAATTTGATGTCTATTTGAACTGGCAAGCCAGAGCCTGTACTGCAGTTCTGAGGAAACTCTCTTACCCTGTAGCGATTGGCACTGATTTGTTCAACTTGGAACCTCTTAGCACAGTTACACTGAGAGACCTGTCGACTCACCTGAGAATCAAAAAAGAGAGGTGATCAGATTTTACTGTATTTTAATAGGATGAAGACAAACTGTTTGAAAGATTTTAGGTTAAAATTAAATCAAAGCAAAAATAGAACCTCCCAAACATTGCATTCTTGCAGCCACAAAAGGGAAAAGTTGTGTGTCTCTAAGTATTTAAATCATAAGTTCAATATACAAAATTCAATTTTACCTGTGCTTGGTCAGGGCCCCTTCACTGGGATACAAAAGATGAATATTTTTCTGTCAATCAAACCTCAGTCAGCCTGGATATATGTTTGTTTTCAAGTTAACAATGTAGAGGTAACCAATGAGGCTGCTACCAATCTGAAATTAATTCAGCTCATTTTCAGCAAAAATGTTAGTTGTTTTCCCCATTGATCATACAAGAAACCAACGTGTAAAGAATGCCCATACACACTTACAGTATACTGTATTCATTTGCCTTTCCAGGAGCACAGAATAAAATGTCAAAAAGTAGTTAAACTCTTATTATAGACAGCAATTGCATTTTATCTTGTACAGAGTATAATTCATGTTTGGGGCATAGATGCACTATGGGAATCCTTTAGAGGTATAATGACAGTTCAACACAAATTGCACTTGTGAAGCTGTCTTGATGTATTGTTGTATTGATTTATCTAAAGCTTTTGATACTGTGTTTCACTTAGTCCTTCTGAAAAAGATGTAATATTGGTCTAGATGACCCATCCTGCATATCTTCACAATTGCATATAGTAAATATGGTTATATGTTTAGACTTATTTCACAGCCTTTTACACTTACTGTATTATGGGAATCCTGCCTTGGGCAATACACAACTCTTCTTTCCACCACTATGCCATTTTATATGAATGCGGACCCAGTTTCTCAGATGTAGTGACCAATCTTTAGCCCAGTTTCAATACACTAATCTGATAAAGCTAAATGTATGCTTTTCAATAATAATAAATCAATCTGCATGCATTGCATCGATGAGAAGATTGTTGGAACTGGAACAAACCATTGTTTACAAATCTCTAGGCACTGAGTTGGATTATGCTTTTTACGTTTCAGTATTCATATTCAAATAGTCTATTCTAGGCTTGTTTTTCTTCATTGCAACAGCTTTTGTTCCTTTTATATTTACACATATATGTATTTATATTTATATTTACACAATTTAGTCTTGGTATACAGTACATACAGTATATGGACTATCTTGGACTATGTTGTTATAGATCAGCCTCCAAAGATTACAACATCACAGGACCAATATGCATAATTCTTATTTGAAAGCATACTTCAGGAACCTACAGTACTGATTTGATTAAATTCTGTAGCAAAAGTATAGATTTAAAAGAATCTCGTATTTTGGTAATTATCTGTGTTCTTTATATATAAATAGTACTTGGTTATTTTTTAACATCAATTTTTCTCAACAAAACTTCTTAACAAAAGTTTTGTTTAAAAATACTTTATCTTCCCATACAAGGCACAGCAATGAGTTCCAGTATTGTGTATTAATGTTGAATCATTACCATATCACATACAGTACCCCTTTAAAGATGATATCAAGATCTGGCATCAAATACACACATATTTATTTAGAATAACTGTATTATTCTGTTATTGTGGTGTTTTAAAAACCAAGATACAGTGGTTAACACCTGGCTCAGTGTCAACATTTGAAGTTCGCTGGAACTTAGTTGTGCTGGGTGTGAGTCACATTGTTCAAAAGAATCTTTCAAAGTCTGGTTTACATTGGTTAATAAAGTTCTGGATTAATAATCAAGGGTTATCAACAAAGAGGAAAAGGGGATAAAAACAGGCAGGAAGGACACAGAAAGAGAAAGGTCAAACAAGGTCAACACAGATCAAACAACATTATCACACACACTGGGACACACACACACAAACACAACATTAATTGGAATGCTACAGGACACTAAACAGACCATACACATTAGCTGAATATTTGAAAAACTTAAGAAAAAGCAAACAGAAACAGAACCCGATGAAGATCAGGGACAGTGATCACAAGTTGGCTATACAAAGTGGGTCACACAGACAGACCTGGTTACCGATTTCTCACTGCACTGTAAAATACTCTGAGATCAGACAAACATTTTTCCTTAAAATAACAGACCTATAGAATCCCAGAATTCCCACACCTGCCAGAATCACAACAGCTCCCAATCCTCCTATAGGAAAGGTTATGGAATTTAATTGAGCTGGCAGTGCACTAGACAATCTCCAGTCACAGCCTTAGGAACGGTGAACCTGTCCCTTAATAATGTTCAATGTGTTCTATGTTATATGTTGTGAGGTCTGCGCAGAAAATCACTGGGACTGAGCTACCCCCCATCGACCGGATATATCTCAACCGCTGCCACAATTGGACTCAAGCTATACTTCGGGACCCAATTCACCCTGGCCACGATCTGTTTTCACCCCTGGGTTCTAGTAGGAGGTATCGCAGTATCAGAACACTCACAAATAGATTCACAAATTGAATCTTGAAAACTAGCTGTTTTTAGGAAATACTGATTTCCTGTATAGAGATTCCCAGAGTTAAAAGCATCCTCTACTGGTTATTGGATACATTTGTAGAACAGAGAGTTAGGTTTCCCATTCATTGTATAACACTTGGATCTATACAGAGAGAGATTTAACTCTAGGTTGTATTCTGGTTAGTGCAGAGGGCAGGGTAATCTTTATTTTTGGGCTGGTTAGGTATTCTATAGGATTCAAATACTTGATAGCAACCTGGGGATTGTCAGGTTCATAAATATATACAGTAGGCATTTGAGATAGTGTAACTTGCAGTTCTATGTTTATGTTGCGCACAGTTTAATGTGTGTATTGTCATTATGAATAAATATTTGTTTAACTCAGAGTGACTGACTTATTTAATCAATCCTGTGCCAAAGAAAAGACTACTCAGGTGTTTATAATTATACCAACTGCTGGGGTATATTGTAGGCAAAATCTTTTGGGAGTTACAAATACAATTTGGGAGTTATCATTATTTATCTTTATTACTGACTAATCCCCTTGGTCTTCTTCTGATATTCACTATTTTCACAACCCCTATTTGTAACAATATTATATTGCATTATTCATTTGGATAATTTACATCTTACATTGTAGTACTTTTCAGCTGAATCTTTCAAGAGTAACTACTGACTATTATTTTAATTTGCCAATTCCAGCAAAGTATAGTTATTAAAGGTGAATAAATCTTTCAAGGGTAAACACTGTCTGTATTTACAGCTATAAATCCTAAATGGACAGGTCAAAATCTCCACAGACACATGGAGCATCCTGCAAGCAATCTGGCTCCAAAGCCTGTGCCTTCCCCAGTCTTACCTCTTCATTGATCTGATCAGCATCAGCGCCTCTTCTGAAAGGGTCTCTGCTAGGATGCAGAGCGCTCACAAACTCATAATAATCAATAAACCCATCACCATTTATATCAAAGATATTGGCTACGGCAGTCATTTCTAATGAATTGGTGGGGAATTCTGCAAAACAAAAGGCAAAATGCTTTCTTTATATTGACAAGATGAAATTGTACAAAATACAAAACAGGTCAGACATGATAAGCAAACAGCATATAAAGGGCAGCATACAGTGTAATGAATAGCATGTAGTTTAAAATCATAAACCCATTTTACTACCACAAAACAGGCTTGAAGTACAAAATTTGATATATAATTAAACTTACAGCATATGTTCATTAACACTCTTATATGCACAAAGAACAAAGCCACTACACTTCTCTTTTTTCTCTTTCAAAGAATCTCTTCAGACATGTAGAAATGCAGATCAATTTCCTGATGCAATAATTCTGAGATATGATTCATAGAAGTAGGTGAACAGAGCTTACTTGATGCCAGGACATTGTCAATGAACTCCCTTTGGCTAATTCTGCCGTCCTGGTCTCTGTCAATGCTGCGGAAGATATCCAGGATTCTGGACTTCAAATGGCTAATCCACTGCATGTACCTCTTGCGCCAGAGACTAAAGTCAAAGTTGGCAAATTCCTCCATCTGCCAGCATAGAAAACAAGACTGAGATATAAAAAGTGGCAAAGTAGTGCTTCACGTGCTTGGTAGTTTCAAATAACACCAAAACACCCAAACGTTTTGAAGTATTAATAATGTTCATGTTATGAATCACAAAATTATATTTCATTAAAATCAGAGCTGCAGGATGCTGTTAAGTGAAAAGCACTACTAGGAAACTAAGATACTTCAAATACTTCTCATGTAATCCTCTTACTGTACGTAAGTGCAAAATTAAATGTTTGCTTTTGCCTTAATTGCAAAATGTTAAGTCTTGGACAAAATCTTAAGTTTATATGAAACTGTCTCCCGTTTCTTAGCACAGTGAAATATAGATTAATGCTAAATTAGCACTAGATAGGGGGATTCGAAACAGTTAAGAAGCATACTTCTGCCTCTGGGTGGATGCTTGGTTGAGCATTGCACAGGATGTAGCTCCTGGTATTACAAGACATCCAAAACTTCAGGCAGGTTGTTTTTTTTTTTTAGCAATATGTTTGCAGTACCTCTCGGAGTCTTTGCAGGTGCTCCTGAAGCCGGCCTTGCCTATTTACAGCCAAGAGCCACAGTTTTTGCCACTTGCTAACTAACTGACTGAGCTGAGGGGTCAGTGGCTCCAGATTCTCGAGAGGGATTGATGCTGTGGGTTGGGTCTTCGCAGCACTCCTTCGCTCTGGAGGACAAATAGACAAAAATAAAAAGATCTACAATCTTTTGCAATCTCAACAAAGTTTCTGGCCAGACTAGTAACCATTAAGTGATGAAACACAGCCTGGAACTGCCTTCCAGTGTTCTGTTTTATGTATGACTAGTGGTTATTTACCATAGGAAGATGCTGCAGTAGATGTGTTTAAGAATAACAATGAGGGAGAAAAGCCAGTTCAGTTAATGAATGCATTGTTTTTTTTAAACTCCAATAGGTATGTAAGCATACCTTAGCTAGTATAGTCTGGAGAAACCACATACTGTAGCACAGAAACCCAGCATGCTTGCTTATGCAATGTACCAGACACTGTCAGTCCAGGAAATGTGCACATTCTTCTTGGAATGAGAGTAGATCATATTGCTCTGTGTTCTACTTTTGTACCGCAGTTGTCTTCTGCTTTTTAACTATTTGTGTGCATTTTACGACTTGCTGTTAGGACTGAAAATGTATTAATATTAATATTTGCATGACATCATGACTTTTCTATGAGAACAAGAAAAGGTGTGGAGAGAAAAATTGTTGTGACGACCAGATCTGTTTGTTGATGAAATCTGCTAACTTCCAGTTCAACAAGTTGAGTGGTTCCCCAGACAAAGGCAGTCAGGCACAGCACGTGCACCCTATGTTAGCTGTATGGTCCTTAGATTTGTATCAGTGGAAAATCAAATGTTTAATTTCACCTCATAGTACATAGTACATAGTATTTTTGTAGCTTATGCTAATATGTCTTTTATGTTGTCCTTGAGAGACTCATAATGGCAGGATAAATCAAGTCAGTAAACAGATTAGAGATTTATAGAGAAGAGAAAGACAGGAAAGGAAACAGTAAGAGAATTCTTCCATTGCAGACCAGACAAACAAAACACCTCCAGGTAATTTAAGCACTGAAGAGCTCAATTAGATGTTATAGATAAGTTAATGTTAGCTTATATTTGTGTGAATGTTTGTTTTTCATTTATGGCATCTACCAGGTTAAACAAATCTCTTTCACTTGTTTAGTGGCTTGCTATTTGTGTACTATCTATTTTAGGCAGTGATTTTGTCCCGTGTAACACTACAATTTTGATAATGAGGTTAAAAACCTATTAAAAATAATGACAAAGACAGACATGTGGATATGTTAATAAACAGGCATTAGTTAAGGGGGACAAATTCTAATTGGGCAGTAGTGTGCCTCAGGGATAAGTTTTGAGCTCATTTCATTTCTGGATCTATATCAGTGATTTAGATTCTGGTATAATTAGCAAATTATGTAGTTTGCAGATAATAAATAGAAAGGGTGGTAAAATACAATTGAGAACCATCTGTCTTTTGAATTTAATGTCTTTAGTAGGAATGCAAAATTTTATTTGAATACTGTTTCCTTCAGAGACTGTTTATATAGTATGTTTAAAAGAAAATAAATTGACTTACTGGTTGATGTTTTTCGAGATGAAGTTGTTTGTGGTTTGGGAATAAATTTTTGTTTGCTGAACTTATTGATATTCTCAACATCTGGCAACTTTCGATTCAGCTCATCCATAAAGACCTGCAACAATATGGACAAAATAATAAAATGATGCCTGAGAGCAGATGTATTACACTCAATAATACCCATCTTAATTTCAATGAGGACAATATTGTTTTATGTCAATTTTAAACTGAGAGACATTAACGACTCAGTTAATCCTTCTACAGGTTTTTATCAATTCCCATACTCTTCTGTCATGTGTAATATTCACACATTTGAAGCTCCTCATGTTTCTCTTAGTCTAAAAAACAAGTTCCAAGACATCTGATTCTAACATGATTAAAACACCAAAGAGCTACCATTATAGTGTGCTGACCTATCCAACTCTACCAAACTGTGTCAGACTCTGTGCTTATAAAGTGAAGCTTCCCTTGCCCAGCTGTTCTGCATTACTGATCCCACCTACAGTAGATATGCAGATATTGCCTGCTCCAGATCTGCAGCTGAAAACCTGACTTCATTCCACCATCTGGTGACCATTTAATGCAACTGCATCCTTTGTTTTGGCATTGCTCTATCATATTCTCTAGTCTTTTCAAGCAAACAAATGCAAAATTGTCAAATGAAATGCGCAATCCAATCAGTACCATGTGTTGCGTAATGAGCTCCTCAGCCTGCTCAATACTCTCTGGAAGAGGCTCCTGGTCCCTCAAGGTAAGAGACTCCTCTGCTGCTGAAATCCAGTCTAGAAGCCTCTGCACCTCCTCCCTCTCAGCCTCCAGAGTGGACAGACTGACTTTGAGACGTTCTTCTTGTTGCAGGGCCCAGGCTTGGACCTGGAGCAAAGCAGAACCGTCATAGGAGGTCAATGGAGAGGGTACTGATGACATGAGACATTAAAGAAGTTCCCATTCTGTCCTGATGAAGCTCACCTCCTCAAAGCGGGTGTTAGTGACACTGATCCATGACTTGATGGTTATGATAGAGTCTGGATGGCAGGACGACAATATCTCTTCTGCGAGGGATTTGATGCAATCCAGTTCCATCTCTTGGCAATGCAGGGACTTCTTTGCTTCCTGCATAAATCAGCAGAATTCCCACGCTGATTGGTTAATCAACATATTTTTGTTTCGCACCATTAGTCAAGACAGAATGTCAGGATTCCCACCTGGTGCTGTTTATGAAGCTCCAGTACAGCAGTCTCCTCCTCTGGAATAACAGTGTACTTCAGGGCCCTCTCCACTTCTGAGAGACGCTCCAGAAACACATGGACCAAAGAGTCAAATTCCTCTGCCTGTTAGATTGAGTGAGAAAATCTGAGCTCAATTCACAGACACATTTATTCCAATATCACTGATAAAAAAGAAACCAGGATGTTACTTTTAATCTATTCTGCATTCTTTTGTAGTGGAATAGGAAAAACACCTGTGCTGTAGTTACATGATAGATGTCTTGCAATAAAATAGAATTTGGTATGTTATGAAAAAGAGTGATTCATGATAAATATACTAAGATGCAATCATCAGAACCCAAAATAGAAGAAAACATTGGAGACCAATGCTACAGAAACAATTTATAGGTTACACTTTGTTCTTCAACAACCTATATTCTGACACCACAATACCTTTTTTCTAAGATCAGAATCACTGTTGAAAACAGAAAGATCAAGTATCGCACACTAATCAAATGTGTTACAAAAGAGAATATGGAAACAAAGTAATTACACAAACACTAAACAAAATAATCTTTGGCATCAATATTTGATATCTAGCATCTGTAATATATTTTCAGAATGTACTGTTTATATTTAACTTTCTGCATCATTTCTGGTCTATTGTTGATTAGTTTCATGCAGTTTTTATGGCATATTTAAAGTACAATGTTGTATTTTATCCTATAATCAGCCATTTCCCCTGTGTGGCTAACTGAAGGGTGAATGCTGAATTAGTGCAGGACAAATCAAGATAACCAAAGTTACTGTCTATAATTTAATTTAACAATAGTTTTGCTGCTTCTGAGCTCCAGGGAGTTGATTACATCTGGCTTGGTCTATGTGGATTCTGCACATTGGCTTTCTCTAGGTGCCTTCTCCTACTCACATGGTCCAAAGACATGCTGGTGTCCCGCGACTCCCATACTGAGCCTTGTGATGGACTGTTGTTCCATTCAGAGTCCGGTCTGCTTTGCTCCCTGTACCTGCTGGGTATGTTTGGCTTACCTGGAGCCATGTGACAGCCTGATACAGGCTTTACAACCCTCTTCAAATGAGTCTGCTTTATACCGGGTTAAAGTATTACCTTTAAGTTAAACTAGTTCAACTGAGAAAATAACAAAGTTGAATAAATAGGACATCAGAGGTGCCCTAGAGGACAGGTGTGAACGAACTGAGATGTCATCAGACACAAGCGCTGTTATGAGTGACTGCACATTGGGTATCTTTTGTGTAGGGTTGCTCACCCCTGGGCAGGCGATCAAGATGGAATACGTGTTTGTACAGGAAGAGAAAGCTCTTACTTGGCAGAGTGCAGCCTCAAGCCTGGCCTGTTTGGAGACGGACAGCCTGCACACCACCTCCCAACGGGACTCCAGCTCCTCCATCTGCTGCTGCAGCCACTGGGACTCCATGCTGCTGTTCTTCATCACATCCCTCACTGAGCGTTTCAGGGTCTTTATACAGCCAGCTCTCTTCCCCAGCTCTTTCTGGAAAACCTGCACAACCACAGGGAATAATCATGACATGACTAGGCATCCTGTCCTGTCCCCCGTCCAGACCCTCTGTGTTCTATCACCTAATGTTTTCAGTAGGAGCTATGTGTTTGTTAAAAGGTTAAACTCATGAATGTACAGTTTGTGAGGTGTCAAAATGGATAAGTTCTGTAGGCTAGTGCTAAGTTTATTTATCTATTAAAATTAAAGTTAAGAACATTCAATTACTAGTCATAGGCAAAGTTACACAAAAATGGAGGCCAATATAAAAAATTCTGACATGGAGTTAATTAGTTGCTTTGTTCTGTATTTAACTGTGTCTCAATAGGGTAGGTTTAGTCTGGAAAAATAGGAATGAGCAGTTTTGAAAGCTTCTCGGTTGTAATGGTTTAATCTTTGCTTGAAGTTCACTACCTGACTGAAGAACCTTACAGAGTTGTGTGTGTTTGTTCAGAAATCATGTGAAATCATCACCATTACTACACAGAGAGGCCACTAAACTAATTGTGTGATCTGAGATTTCCTTAGTATTTTTGTGCATCTGAACAGATTTAGGGTTATCACTGCAAAGGGAGTGAACCCTTATTCAAGTGTATGATGTGATGATAAGGTCCAAGCGTGCTGTGTCTGTTATGTGGAGTTGAGTGTAGGGAAGTTGCAGTGGGGTAACCAGGCATGCATTCACTTACAGCAGGGATTAATTTAGACTTGCTTATTCAGTAACAGGACAGGAAAGTTATACTATTAAAGGACATTTTTCACAGCACTGGTCAAACTTGCACTTCTACGAATAAAACTGCTTTGTTCACTATATTTCTCACCTTTAAAATGCTCTCAATTTGGCAGGAAAGTGTAGCAGAACTGTGATTTATTTACCTTATGTTTGTCAATTAAATTTGCAACCAGGTCCTTCTCTCCTCCAACAGGCATGTCCTCAGCTAGATGTGGTTCAGCTCTATACAACCAGTCCATTAGGGCTTGGAGAGCATCCGTGAATCTGCCTGAAAACAGGAGTGCTTCTTCCAGTTTGTGTTGCCTATAATGCAATATGAAAGATCAAGACCTGTAGATGCGCATGCTAAAGTGGTGCTGTGACTTCGATAGCTGATGCCTGTAGGTCATATAGACTGCAATGGGGTTCAGAAGCTATCAAAAGAGTACCAGGTCACAGAGTGTGAGATGAGACTGTGAGAGTGTTATTGCTCTCCTGGTTTCAAACCCACCATGAGGAAGGGCTGGCCTTCTGGCTTGTGCAAGCTGGGTGAAGGAAACACGTGAGATGCCAGTTTCAGGGTCAGTCCTCACACTCTAATCTAGGATGGATGTGGGAATAGGTCTTGTGTTAAGAGAAAGTCACGTTCTGGGATAGAGTAAATGATTCAGGCACTTCTGACTTGAAACTTTGTGTCATATATGGAATGCAACTGAAAAATGATGTTTGCACAATTACAAGTATGGTTCATTTGCAACATCTTTCAGGCATTTCCCAGCCCCCTGAAACTAAACAGTGCAAAGGAAGGTTAACAAATCCATTGAGCAACATGGCCTGCCATTTGATTTAGCATATCTTTCCATGCCTTTCAGCATTTCTACATAGTTTCCCAATGTGCTCACATCAATGGGCTCTGTTACACAGTTAAGCTGTCACAGGCTCACTAATTCTCCACACAATCACAGTCACCTGGACTCAGTTCTTAGTAGATGCTAAATTAAACCAATCCATTATCAAAAAGATACATAAAAGGTCCTAATTTATTTATAAGGCAGCAGACATACGTACAACAGGAGAACAAACTGCATTCTTCCAAAACAGGAACCCACAACAGAGGGGCCAGAATGTCTTCCTCCCAGATCCCACAAAAGAACTCCCTCAGCAGAGCTTACCCTCTGCCTTTATTGTGGAGGCTCATCCCCACCTAGCTCCTTTACACATTTTCGCCTAATAAATGCCACATTACACCAAAACACAATACATAAAACTGATTAGTTTCTTTAATATATTTTCCTTAAAACTAATATATTGCTTTTAAAACACTGGTGTTACTAAAGGGAAAGGGAGACAAGCTCCCCTCCAGTCCAGAAGGGGGCACTGTGAAAACAGCCTGCTGGCAATCTGGAGACAGTTTCCCAGGGTTTAAATTTGGCCTTGACTCTGAATGGGGTTTTGACTGTTAAAGCAAGTACGTAATCATATAAGGAGTAACTGCAGCTACCAAACATTTCAACATTCACCCATTGTTTTGTTTTTTTCCTACTGGCATAATGCCATAATATAGACTACAAACAAAAAGGTAAGTGCTATATGAATTTGTTTTACTTGCTTTGTTTTAGAGGCCTGCAACAACTGAATGCTGTTGGGTGGGCCACATCACAGAAGCTAATAATGTTTTGTAATGTTAGCATTGCAAATAAAAATGCATTTTTACCTCTCCATGGACTTCCCACTGATGGTGTCCCAGGAATCTCTCAGCTCTGCCAACAGATCGTCCAACTGCTGCCGGTCAGCTGGACTCTGGGATTTCTCTTTGAGAGTGCGACCACTCTTCAAGGTGGCTTCATAAACTGGCCTCTTCGACCTCAACAACTTCTGAAATTCCTTGAGAAACACGAAGCAAAGAAAATCAACAGGGCCATCTGTCTTCCAACAATGCTGTGCCTCCTGGGCACCACTGTTTGGATATTTATCAAAGGCCAACAAATGATTATATAAAATACTAGGCCTAATCACACAACTGTAGAACCACTGATCTTACAGTTTTCTCACGTCATTTATTTTTACCTATCCACAAAGTGATTTAAAGATTTTTCATTTTTCCTGTGCCACTCAGAGTGGACAATAACTTGCCAAATGAGACCTTGGGCTACATTACCTTCTGCTCTGCGAGCTGCTGTTTGATTTCCTCATGTGACACTGCAATCTCCTTGTGTGTATCCAGAGTCTGCTCCACTTCCGCCACCCAGTCCACCAAGAGTCGCCAAGACTCAGTGAACTAAATCATCAAGAGCAAAGACCACTTAACCGCCCGAAAATGCTTTCCATATAAATAGAAGGGTTATACTGGCTTGCAGTTCTAGTGATTGTGGACCTTTAATCTCTCCTAGTACTTTCCAGAAACCCATGGTGAATCAAATTTAAAAATCACTACCTAAGTATCCCTATGCTGGAGTCGTGACCTGTATTTTATGAGAAACATTATATTTTTCTTCATTAATTAGTTAATTTTAGAGGAGAAATAAGGTGTTTTAAAATGGATTTTAAGGGCCCCCTGAAAGATGGAGGCCTCTCTGTGACCAGACTTTGGAAAGAGGGTACAAGACACAAGTTGTACGGATTGAAAATAATGAACTGTTAGTTAAGTGTTTGTGTGGTATAGTTCCTCCACTGAGATAGAGATATTTGATATCAATAAACTACCAGTATTTTATATTTGATTTCAGTTAAAATTTCCAAAATACATTGGTTAAAAACCAACTTGTACACAAAAAGTGTGTGTAAACTACTAAGCTGACTGATTTTTGGTAACACAATTACCTGTTTAGCTTGTTTCTTCACATCATCAAGAGCTTTTCCTCTCTCAGCAGTGCGCTGATAAAGTTTTCCATAGCGGTCTTTTACAGTCACTGTGAGATTCTGTATCACATTGCAGTCTTCCTTCCTGCTCAGTTCTTTAAGACGTACTGCTACACTCTCAACAGCTGTCATTTTGTCACTGTAGGAGTTTACTTCAGTCACCAACATCTGGAAGTAACATGGACATATTTTTAAACAAAGAAGTGATACAACAAAAGTTTATTGAATCACATTCCCACATCTCTCTTGGTATTTAGCATAATTTGATGGGGGGTGTTATTTTACAGTATTTGATTAACATAACGAACCTAGAAATATTTAAGTTATTTTCAACTTTATGCATATTGGACAAACTTATACTGTTTTTGTGACAAAAAAACATGATTTTAAGAGTGAAATGACTCACTCCTGTGAAGGGGAATTATTTTAATCGGATAAAGCAAGGCTTAAGGATTCATCACATAAAATTTAAATTAAGTTTCAAGTTTAATATGTTGTAATGCAATAAATTTGAATTCGTATAGTATGTGTCAATAATAAGGTGCAGTGTATGGAAGACCCAGAGACACATGACTGAACTAGGTTTTCTCAACACCAACCCTGTGTTCCTGTATCTGAGCATTGACAGTGTCCAGGATTAGACTGGGCGGAGGTAAGGCACTAATGGCCTCTTCACTCTGAGACATTTTCTTCAATAGATCCTGGACAGTGCTGTGAAACTCCTTCGACAAAGTCAGCCCTTCATTCAACTTAGCCTGAAATAGAGTTAACAAATGTTACTCACCACTTACAAAACAGTTGCAGCTACACATCTTCAGAATTGAAAGAACTATTAATGTAAGAAATAATACTGCCTTGCTATTTGTGATGAGGAGCTTGAAAATCAGATGAATATACAAATGGAAGGTAATAATATTATTACAATTGAAAAATGCTTATTGACTGTTTTTATATAACATGTTTAATTGCAATGCTATGCTTTAACTTCTTCTTAGAATATATAAAATAATAAAAGATGCAAAAAGGAGGAGGGTTTAGGGGGGTCTGTCTGAAAACAGACCAGAGTTTTGAACTCAGTTTGACCCTCTTTAGAATCAGGGTGCATAGTTTAATAAAATCATAATGAATTATTTCTTTTCTTAGAGAATATTCTTCTTATGTTGACAATTTTGAAAGTTTATTACTCATTCACTTCAACCATGTATTGGATTTTCTATATTTAAAATGAGAAACTACATCAGTTTTTGAGAACAGCTTAAGAAGATCCATTACAATTTTTAAATGTTCCTGTTAAACCTATGATTTTAGAACCATTTCAATATTTGCAATATTTCAATCTGGGTAGAGCGTTTGCTGACCTTCCTTTCTTGCACTTTGCTATAGACACTCTCCCATTTGTGTTCCAGAATGCAAAGACTATGTTCTGTGTTGGAGCCTCGAGAAACATCATTGTTGTCCAGCAGTCTATGGATGGCATCCCTCACATTGTTGTACGTATGTAACTTCGATTCCATTTCCTTGCACAGCTCCTGAAGGAAGATGTAAAAGCAATCTGTTAGAGATGTTTATGAGATGCTCACAGCATAAACATCACTCTTCAAACCATATTGACAAAATTTTCATGATCTCTGCCATTCAAAAATGTATGATGTAAAGTGATCATCATATTTGCAACTGTTTGCAAAATAAGGAATGATTTCTTTTCAAGAGTTTTTTTAAATGAATGATTGTTTTCACCATATTATTCAGGTGCTGTTGACCCATGTGGTATTTGGTGACTGTGGGGATTCAAAAAGAAGAGTACTGAGATTGGAGTGTTCCATATATCTTGGAAATTTTGTTTTTAAATGTATTAAATTAGTATGTTGTAAAATTCCAAAAAGGTACTGTGATTGTGATCCATTTGGATCATAATCCAACATTAAGTGGTGATAACCTGGAAATCAGCCTGGCAACTGAACCACTTAGCTACCGGGTTAACTTAGTTAGATGCTCAGTAGCGAAATGGGAGAAACCAGAGCTTAAGATACTACAGTATATGAAGAAATAAAGAATAATGGCTGGATTTCTGTTGATTCAGTCAAGGCTTATGATTAGTTCTGGTTATTACCAGATGTGCTGAGAGCTTCTCATTTGTAGTTTCCGGTAGTCCCCAGACTGGTTTGGTGGCTGAAAGTCTAAGGTCTGTGTTTTCCAGCCACTGAAGAAGATCCTGGATTTCCATGGTCACATCTTGAACCTATTTACCGGAGAGAAAGGAACCAGTGCCACCCAAAATGAGACAGTCAGAGAATGTGGCACACTTCATGAAATTTACTACACTGTAGTATTTTGCATTACACCTCACATCTTCCATAGAATATTGTATGAATTTGCTTTGCTTTTATGGTCTAATCATTTTTGAGCCAGGTTTTGATACTGACACCCATGTCAGGTCACGATAGCATTCTAGCCAAAGAGAATATTTAGAAGTGCTCTATGACACCTGTGAGTCACAGCACGTATTACTGCCATTATCATAGTCTACTTTATGTATGTATTTATTAATATAATTTATTTACATTTCTAGAGGTTTAAAAAGAGCATTAATAAATTTTACATAAGCACCCTAACATTCATACACTCAGTATCCTCGGGTTACAAATCGTTTCCTCATCTTGCTCCAGCCGAAATATAAGCTGGACGTGTCCTGTGGATCGTGCGCTTTGTGGTTCATGTGACCTGTGGGACTATTCAGAGCATGAGCCCGCGTGTGAGGGTCTGACTATCCCACCTGACTGAGGTTGTTCTCCAGCTCGAGCTGCCTCCTCTCTGTCTCACAGCGGACAAACTCCCAGCGCTCGTTCAGCTGCTCCAGCTGGGCCTGAAGCCCCTGGGGGCTGTCCCCCGTCCCGGCCTCCAGGAGCTCCCTGCCCGCCAGGTTCAGGGACTCCACAGTGCGCGCGTGGGACATCACGTCATTCCGCAGCACCTTCGGGGAGGGGCCAGGCAGGCACAGTGAGACAGATTGGCAGCACAGGGAAACTCGTCCTTCGTAGGACAGCTCACGAGCCACAGTCCATCTGCGTCTTATCTTGTCTTATTGTAATCAGAAATATTATTGTGCAGCTTTCCCTAAGAAAAGTCATTGGGACCCTGCAGGAGCTCAAGTCACAACGAACAGGAAATGCACGATTTCCATTTCCAGCTGAATGGATCACCCTGTGAAGACCCTACTGTTACACTGAATATATCACATTAAAAGGATAATAAAATAGATAAAATATTAAAACCGTTTTCTCCTTGAATATTTCATACTATTGCGAACATCATGATTGCTTCAATGCTGTCCATACTACACCATTTTCAAAGCCCGCTATTCATTAAAACTACGTAAAAACAGAATTTACAAAGAGGACATTCTTATTTTTACATCAATGGAATGCACATTTTAACTTTCACATTCAGTTTAACGGGATGTCCAGTGGATCTTACTATATGACTCTCAAGAATATATACAATTTATCAAATAAATATAAATGAATTGTGTATCTGAATGTGTATTTAACCTGCTTTAGATGTAGTGAAATCTCTTGCCAAATCTCTTGTCAAATTATCTTGCCCTCAAGTACAGAACTACTGCTTTTGTACAAAAAGGACAAAAACATTATGTGATACGAGAAACAACAAGAAATAACATTCAGCAACTGCTTTTAAGACAAACTTTGGCAGAACTTCAGTCTGTGTATGATATGGATGAACTCCCTACCTTGTGTTTTGCGAGCTCGATCTCACAGGTCTGCAGGTCGATGCTGATTTGCCGGTAGCCCTGCAGCTGGCCAGCTGTGTGTGTCAGCCAGGTGTGCAGCTCATCCAGGGTGTTCTGGAACTGACCCAAACCCAGGAGTGCGGACTCCAGCTGGTGCTTCAGTGACACAGGGGTTAATAGACAAGTTGGAACACCCAGCAGTCAAACAGAATAAATATTGTGTATTCAGACATCTACAGAAAATCACACAGCATATACTACCCCTGTAAGCTGTAGTCATATTAATAGATTATATTAAAATGAAAATCCATGAAATAAGGAATTTGTTTTGTTTTGCCACTGAAAATGTGAATGAAACCAATCTTGAAACATGTTAAGCTGCGTACTGGTAGAGGCAGGAGAACAAATTCCTGTGCTTGAATGATATACAGTAAGGTTGCCTTTGACTTTGGTTAGCATTTAGCATGCTAACTACCCTGACAGTGTTTGAAAAGCAGAATGACAAAAATGTGTTTTTGTTTTTAATATAAAGCATGCTATTGTAAATGTATATATCTAGCAAAAATACACAACAGTTGTATGAATTCACAAAGGTATCGTGGAATTCAATAAATGGATTTCATAATGGGTGCCCTGGCATTTTATTGAACAGACATGGTGTATGTAAATGAATGATGCTGATCAACCTTTCTCATCAACACGGTTGATCCATAGACAGTCTACTGCAAAAGGCTACAAGCTGAAAAAGTGTAAGAGTCAATATCCATGGTGTTCTAAACATGAGTACACCTACAATCCCTGCAGTTCTAGTGCTGGTGTATTACAGCACTCTCTTGAAATACATATTTTGAATGTTTAACATTCAATAGCTGTAGAGTATGCCTCACACATAATGCATTTCATATAGTGTAGATTCCTAACAGTCCTAACAGATTCCAACCCTAAGATTTACACATAAGATCAAGGCTTTCCTCCATTTCTGTTAAGTTACCTGAAAGTAGCAGACTTGCCTGTTAGGTTTTTGGGATAGTGGTCAATTTGGGAAAGAACCTTGTTCATAGATAAAACAGTAGTGTCTTCATGGGATACTAGAACCCATTACTCACTGGCCAGGAGTCCAGAAATCGAACTCTGTAACTCCTTCTTTTATAACGAGTGCTGTATAGCTATGACCAATGTACCACAGAGATCAAACCAAAATCATGAAAAAGTGTAAAATAATTGCTGTGACAATTTTGGAGACATTTTCATGATACATATACTGTATTAGATCCTGAAAGAGATCAACGTTCTGCTCTTGCCAGGCTCCTACCAGGTGAGGCGAGTGTGGCTTTTACCTGTCTGCTCACGGTCTCCCTCTCCAGGGTGTCCCAGCGATGGCGGAAGTCCGAGAGCTGAGCACCAACAGCATCCTGTTCAAAGCCCAGAGTGAGCCTGCAGACAAAGCGATGGTTCAGACTCTCCATCTCTATCTTCTTCTGGTACAGTTCGCTCTTAAACTCCTGCCGATAAGAACCAATAGGTTATTTCTTTCTGTGTGGCTCAATCATATTGCAGTTACATATAGGACAAGAGTGAAAGCTTTTGCGTTAGTCTGTAGATGTGAGGAATGAAGCTCAGGGCATTGTTTAAACTTCATGTTCTGTAATATTAAATTAACCATGGCAATTATTCAGTGTGAACCACAGAGAAGGAGCACAGGTACATTTAGTGAAAAGTTCTGTCTGTACAGGAAGAGACTCTTCAAAATACAATTCAGGTCTTAAGGCAAATTGAAGTCTGTACAGTATTTAAAGCATATAATGCAGATTATGAAATAATGGAAGAAACACAAAAACATAAAAAGAAACAAAGATAAAGTTTAGTCTACTTACTGTAATATGCTTCAAAAGAATTTGTTAATTCTGTCACCCAGTATGTGAATATAAACCATATTATGATGTCATATTTCAATCCATGTTGTGCCAGTTGAAAGTTTTTAAAATGTCTAGCTTGTTGCTGTACCTTTAAATCACACAGCTGTTGCTTTACTGTCTCCAAGTTGACCCCAACCATAAATTCTTCAGCAGCTTTCAGCTCTGCGGACTTCAGCCACTCAAACAGCCTCTAGAAAATTGAACATTTAATATTTTTCCTATTATATTACGTATTAGTCAAGAGAATAATTAAGAACATATACCAATGTTTTAGTTCTGTTTTGTCAAAGGTACAGTATATGTATGTAGAGTGAAACAGAAAAATCCAAGATAATATAATCATTCTTTATTACACAAAAAGCTCCCAAATTCTTTTACACTCCCAGGACTCTTGCTACTGAATTTAACCTTTGTGTCAACTTTTTTGGTTCATTGTATCATGTGACATTTCTCTTTCTTAATAACTATGATCCCTTCGAATTCATACTGTTCACTCATATTTTTTGAGTGTTGTTTTGTAACACAGAGAAGGAGAACACTAGGATTTTGGCATCTATCTCTATGCCACTAGAGAGCGTTTTAGCAAACGCAAAGGAAATAACTGTAGGAATGAAAAGCAGCTGATAGACATTGGGTTTCTCTACACACAGGTTATTTAGGAAATAAATGATTAATAAAAGTGATCATCTCAACATTTACCACTTTCTGAAATTTAATTAACACTATTCAGTGTAGCAGCAGCTAAAACCGCAATGATATTGTCATCTTATGGAGAAGATGAGAGTCAGTTACTACATCGACAGACCACTACACTTACATTCACAATTAATAATATTGTAATATATAACTAACAAACCTTGACAGTCTAGACTAGCACAGCAGCAACAGCAAGAGCCACTGGAAGGAACTTTTGACTCATTTTCATGTGCCTTTTGAAGAAATGTGCTGTGTTGCACATTGAGGGGGAGCAGCAGCCGCCTTGTTCACCTGAACCAAGGACCAGCCCAGGTTACTCATAATGGTCAGTGCCTGCCCATCAGCTCGGGTTTACAAAAGGCTTCACCAGATACAGTACCATCCTTTCCAAGAAGCCAGTATGCCATTATGGCAGGAGGTGGGAGATTTCTGTTGGATGGAGCCACGTCTCTTTAAGATCCAGGCTAAAGGAGACCCATAAGCTGAAAACTGAAGGATAAACCTATTGGCTTTTCCTGTTACAGACCATACAAGCGCTGAAGAAAGCGGTGTTAATGTCCGTTAAGATCCTTCAGCACCACGTCATAATGAGGGTCTGCCACACCTATTGTCGTAACTTTCAGTTCTATTTGTTTATATAAAAACATATTCAATAGAGTGATATTCAATATTCTATATTCAATATAGAGTGAAACAGAAGTGCTTTCCACAAGAAGTTTGAGCTTCTGTAGATACTTCCCCTATGAGCATGGATATACTGTGTTATTCATTGCAGAATAATCCCAGGCATGTCGGAGAACAGCTATTTAGATTATACGCTAAACTTTAGATATTAAGGCTTAGGGGCTTTCAAATTTTGCAATTACGCATGGACATAGCATCAGAAACAACAACAATACTGTAACTCAGTGCTTGGAGAAACCACAGTCTTGGTGAAGGGTCTTTTATTTATTACATTGCAATTAAAAATAGTGTGACTGAGCTTCAGTTTTGGCCAAGTTCTTTTGATTGTAGTTACTTAACTATAGAGTTATTTCTGGTAGGATCTAATTAGCTTTGCCAGAATGGAATCTCTGAAATTGCTATGAATGCTTGCAGTTGTTCAGGTGGTGACATTGACTGGAGGAATGCCTGTCTACACTTTTTTTCTGGGATTATCTCTGGGCATTTACCTTAAAGCCAGAGCAGTACAGCAGATATTTTCATGCAAATGTTTCATGTTGGTTTCCTTTACCTCAATCATGTTTTTATAATGCACTGCAGCCTCAAGAGATTCCTCCAGCTTGCTGTAGCACTCAGTCCACAGTTTGCTCAGGTTATTCCATGTGCAGTAAAGCTTGAAATAAACATATCAAATTTAGTAAAATGTCTAAATACATACAGAGTTAATCACTTCCAACAAATATTTTCAGGGTGATTTTCATTCTCTTATTTTCTTTTTAAAGTAATAGTGAAAGTTCAAAGAAAATGTTTTCCGTAAGTAAAGATTTAGGAAGAGGCTGTATAGGAAAAATCACTGGAACTATTATGTTATTATACTGTATATATTTTAAGGAATAGTTTGAAAATGTCATTTATTTGCTATACCAAATTGCGTTGTGCAACAATTTCAATTTTTACAAATATAAATAGATCAAAATAAATTGGTTTGGTTAGTGGGGTTAATATTTATTTTAAAGAAACAGGTTTGTTTCAATATATTTGACAAAGACCTTGCCTTTAGTTAGAAACATTCTGTTAATATTTTCTTATAGGGTATTCTGATCAAAGAGAACTGTATTTTTACAAAGAGAGAAACTCTTAGAAATTTCCTTAGACTTCTCATTCTAATACTTACTTCGTCTAAGCTTTTGGTGACGTCTGGCTTGTCAGTATCCCCACAGGCTGACATCAGGTCCACTCCTAGAATTCCAAGTGTGTCCAGTTCACCCTGCAGGCTGTCTATATCTTCTCTAACAGACTGGTGAAAACAGAAATAAGCATTTACTAATGTTCAAGAAGGTTCATAGGTAATTCTAGAGCTGTTCAAGATAACAACTGTGTAACTAATGTAACACATTTCATTAAACAATAGTGCTTCTAGGTAAAACAAATGCTCAAGGATAAAGTTGCTTCTTGTATTACTGAAATGAAAAATAGGCCAAACTTTTACTTGTAAAAGTTAAATAATTTGACTAGGCTAAGGATCTGTGCCTGTGGCTGGAAGGTTGCCGGTTCGTATCCCTGAGCAATGCCCTTAACCCCGACTGCTCCAGGGGTACAATTTAAATGGCTGACCATGCACTCTGACCCCAAGCTTCTCTTCCTGTCTCATGGACAGCAAGTTGGGGTATGCAAAAAGACAAATTCCTAATACAAGAAATTGTATATGGCCAATAAAGTGATAATATCTTATTCAAAAGAATAGTACTTTACACTTATGTGGATTTTCATCCTAAGGAAGATCTGAAAAATGTGAAGGATTAAAGCCCAGCTAAACCACAACAGCCACCTCTGTGGTGCAAACCAACAGCTAAATACCAGCCACACCAGACTAATGGCTTGAAAATGTAATTTATGGCTGGCAATAGACATGCTTTACATGCTAATACATTAATCATTTTCTACATAGTATCGTTATGCCGTCTTTTATTATGAGAAGGAAACAATGAAATCCGACGGATTCAAGTTTAAACATACAACATATAACCTGTTTTTAATGATTATTCTGAATGTAAAAATCTAGACATAGCATTAATACACCTCATTATCTTAAACTCCTTTAGAAGACTTTAAAGCAGACACTTTATTATACTTCTTGATTAGTAGGCCAGGTGGTTACACTACCTGCATGGTTTCCAGGCTCTGTCGGATGGTCTCTGAATCTGATCTGGTCCCATTCAGATCCAAGACTATCTGCTGAGTGTCATTCAAGACAACAGTGAGGTCGTTCAGGTCGCTCCAGAACTTAGTGGCCAAGTTGAGTAGATTCAGGAGCCACTTCTCCCTGTCTAGAGCCTGAGCTTGAGCTTCATCCCACTGCCGACCAAGGCTGGACACATGATCCTCAATGACTGCGGAAGGAAAAGGGTCCAGTCGATCATGCCATGTCTCAAAGATCGAGAGTTAGTCGATTTGAAACTTGAGTAAGATATAGTAGCACAGCCCTATCAGATAGAATAACTGTTTCTCACATTATCTGTAGACAATGTACAGTAAATATGATGAGTCAAGTGGCTTTGTCATGGATGAATATTGGGACCACAACAGACTGGGACAGAAAGATATGAAGCTGTGAAAAACCTGGGGGCTTTTGAAGGATATTATACTAGAGAGGCAGACTACTAGAGACATTAGCAGTACAGACAGTGGAACTGCGTACAAGGGAGGCATGCAGTAAAGCACCTAGCAGGTGTTGTCTGGATAAGAGGAACAACTGCTGAAAGAGAAAAACAAATGCTGTCTGGAGACGAGCAGGTGAATAGACTCGCCACAGTACAGAAACTAGCACATAGCGTCAGTAGTGACCCTGATCCATCCGTATCAGTGCAAGTTATGAACAGAGAACGTTGTTCAGGAGCCCCACTTGTCATTTGACCAATCGGTATACAAACATGTTTATGGGCCAACATGAACAAAATAAAGAAAAAACAGATTTAGGTTCTATCTCTCCCAAATCAGCTAGTGGTATACTGTATGAGTACATAACTAATGGGAAAAGGAAAGGGAGCAGGTATTCATAATGTAAAGACTGTCACTTTCAGAGGATATGTTATTATTGAATGTAAAATGTGTACTAATTTTCCCAGTAAAATATTTTAATAAGCTAGAATACAAAATATATAATAAAACATGTTGCTCCACCACTGCATTATAGACCCTTCACGTCATTCCTAACTAATTTCGAAATAGTAAAAACAGTTTATGTGTACAGCTGCTTCCCTGGTAGGGGGGGGGGAACTTTCTCTCATGACGACTTTTGTGGTAACATACCCAAACTCAACACGTAAACCTACAAACATGCACTTAAAATTGCAAATGAAGTGGGATTTTAATATAATGAAACGTCTCATTATTCACTCTTGCTATATTCCTTCCTTGTAAAATAACCCATTCACTTGAGAAGCTGGCGATTTTCACACGGTATTTCTCTGAAACGTAATACTTATGAATAGACCGACTTAACAAAGCACTGTGTTGACTTTGAGTTTGGTAGGGAAGCTGGACTTGTGCCAGAAACAGTGTTAAAAGGAGACATCGTGGTCACTTTCACATGTTGGCAACAAACTGATTCTACTTCATTAGATAAGTGTCTTTGAAAGTCACTGTCATGTTGCTTAAATGTCCCATCTTTTATCTGAATTTTAATCCCTATTTTTATCATGACAGAGGTGCCTATCGACACTTTGGCTACTGCTATGGTGGTCATAATAGCATGAGAGTGTTTAAGAAAATGTGCACAAAACATAATCCTTTTTCACACTGTGAGCTCCTCAGCACTGATGCTCCTCTAGTTGACAACATGGCAAGCCGCCTCATATGTACTTTTTCTCTCTTTTTTGTATCTTCCTGGCTCAGTGATCCTTATTTTATGAGCAAACATGATTTTACATGTTTGTCAAATCAATCACAATTAATGAATGTTGTTTTTTGGGAACCTTAAAGAAGGTTTTGAAAAAAAAAAAACCAAAAAAAGCAAAGGAAGCAAAAAAAAAGGAAAATTAGAAAGGCCTTAAAATTTGCAAAAAAAGAAAAAAAAAAAAAAAAATTAAACACCTTTCAGAACAAACGACCTTTGTTTTGGCAGGTGTAGTACTAGATTCAGCTCCACTTCACATTCAGATCACAGGTGACACGAAAACCATTTCTCAGGTGACTCCAGTGGCATCCTACCTGTGCTGATGGAGCTGTTGCCAGCTGTTTCTGCGTTGGCAATGAGCTCTGCCCCCTGTGCTCTGACATTCTTGAGGCCCAGCTCCAGCTTCGCCAGCTCAGACAGTGTGTGTCTGTTGTCCTGGAGCTGCTCCTGGATCCTTGCCGTCTGCCCTTGCAGAGTGACAGGGGTCTGCAGGCGGCTCCAAAGCCTGTCCAGACTCTGTGCCATTAGGGTCATCCTCTCAGATAGCTGTGCAAATGGCAGAGAATCAGAGCTGATCAATTTCCTGTACGTTTTAGAAGAATCCCTTTGTTTTTTTTTTCCATGATGTAACAATTCCGTTAAAAAAATGTGTTTTCGGTAATAAATAAAAATGATATAAACCTGGTTGTAAAATGGGCAGATTATGCACACATAATATGCCCATTATAACTATCACAGTAACATTTTCCAGCGTCAAAGCACTTTTTTATCTGTTATTCTTCAGGTAAAGACATCGAGAGTTAAAAATATATATAAATGCAAATCTTGAGGAAGGTATCTTGTCAACCACATTGGGTTACACTGATAAGCCTAAATTTATCTTCAGTTTTAATAACCATATTACAAAAAGGAGCTCAATGGAGTTATTTTCTTTTATTAAAGGGGTATCATGCCCAAACAGTTTCAGTGCCCTGAATCTCTCAAGCAGAGTGATTTGATTTAGGTTAATCTAAAGGATTATTTTACATTCAACAATGAAATACTGTATTGCGTCTCCTGAGTGGATCAACTGGTAAAAGTGTTTCAGTGCAGATTAAGCTCTTTGATCGCATTTCAAGGGTGGGTCAAGCCAACTGTGTCTCGCCAAAAGTAGAGCTCTCTTGGGTTTCAGTAACAGTGACCCCTGCACCTTACCAGGCACATGCAGCCTTGTGTGCAGCTGTTAGTGAGAGATGCATTTCTCCTCCAATCAATGTTAAACCTTCAGTACAAGGCTGTACAACCTGTGATGTGTTAAAAGATGATTGGTTCTAAGTTGCGTGGGTGGGAGGAATCTGCCCACACTTCCTCATTCTCCCCTGTGTGCGGTCGCGGGGTTTTAGCTGCAAGCTGAGATGTGAAAACACACGAGTGATGGTTCCAAATCAGGTGGGCGTAACAAAAACAATTGTTTATTGTAAATTAAAAAAATAAATAAAGACAAGAGGTCCCTAGAGGAACCTCTCACTTGAAGACTCACTTGGCTCAGAAAATGAAAAGATCAGAAGGAGGCTTACTGATACTGAGCACTTTTTCACATTGCAAGTATTCAGCCATATCTGACATTATCTAGGAGAAATAAGGATTCAAGTGGTGATTTCAGAGGACACATTTCTTTAAAGATTTACAGGACTAAAACATAAGATGTGAAGACAAAAAAATTCTTGCAAGGGATTTAAAATCCAATCAATACTTTTTTCGAACCTGGAAAATCAATGATAAGAATAAATTCCACAAAGAAAAGACAACAGTAATGGCTTGTAATGTTAGGAAGTATATTGCCAGAACCGTAGGAGACAGTTCTGTGTTCTTCGGATTTGTCCAACTACTATGGCAAAAACATAACTACCTCTTGATGAATATCTATGCACAGTATTAGCCACTAGGCAGAACCACCTCTTGATGAATATCTACTGTATGTATAAGGGAAAAAACTGAAGCCCAGCTGTGTTCACCCAGTGGTCTCCACCTGTGTACAATAGTAAAGAGCACTGCACCTGCGTGTATCGTGGCAGAGCCTCCTCGAGGATGCAGGCAGCCTGCCGCACCCTCTCCTTTATCCTGCTATGCTGCTCCTCAGCTTCCTGGGCTCTTGCTGCAAAAGCTTCCCCCTGGCTGGGGCTCATTTCCCGCAGGTGACCGCTCACAGACTTCAACTGCGCTATCAAGGGCTTGTGTTCTGCAATGGACTCCCTCAGGCCCTGGGTGAAGGAGCACACATGTCCCATACTGTCCTGACACAGGGTTTGCAGGGCGGTAAAAACATTGGAAATGTCAGCTCGGTCACTGCTTGTCAGACCACACAGGCAGTGCTTTTCTGCTTGAGATGAGCTCTATCCTTCATTGTTCCTGTAATTTAAAGGGCTACAAAATAAGAAGCACTCTGCTTACATTGCTTACAAGCACTGTGCTGAATGTATCCATGAATCATACAGTCAAGTGTAAAGTAAAGCGTATCTGGAGTATTTCATCCTGCTGCAACATTCTAGATAGTAGTACCATGCTGAGATAGAGAGAACAGAAAAACTGTTTCAGCGTTGAAATTGGTTAATTTCATTCAGCTGCTACACTATAACCATGGTTTTTTTTATTATGGTCTCTGAGTCTCTGCAAAAATTACTTTGATTTTATTTATTTTCCATTTAGTTATGCTTACAGTTCATCAAAGAACTGGCAGAAATGTTTGAGAAATATAATTCTTAGAATTTGGAAGCACATTTAAAAAATAACACAGATAAAACCTCAGGTTGAGAGATCATTACACATAAAATGTTTGCTAGTTTAGAGGTGGTCTTTACCTGTAACAGGTCCTGTTGTTCTTTGAATGCTTCATAACTAATGGTATGCAACGACAGCTGTTCAATAAGAGTCTGGGTTTCTTGTAACCATGGGGACACCTCAGCGTGGGCTTCTGAGAACTGGGACAGCAGTGACTGAGCATGCTCGAGCTGCAGAACCACGTTGGAGTTTCTCTGTGATGTGGATTGGCATTGTTCCCTCAAGGAGTTGAGCTGGCTCTTTGCAGGAGTAAAGAACAAAAGAGAAAACTCATCAACTACTGTTCTTGAGGGAGTGTGTGAGTCATTATTTGCATAAAAGAAATGCAGAAGATCAGTACAAAAGCATTTCATTCAATAACTTTACTAAATAGGGGACTCTCCTAAAGAAACACAGAAGGAGTTGCCAAAAGCAAAGAAGTTCTAAAACAAAGTACAACAAATGAACACAAGCTGCTATTGCCTTTTTTCCAAGTCCTTTTATTAGGCTAACTTATTATTCTGGGTTTCAATCATAAAGAGTTTGTTTACAGCATATTGCAGAAACACACTGATATTATAGCAGTTAACTATAAAGTTCCACTCCATAACATTTGTATTACAAAAATTACCCTTTTCTACAGGAATTCTTGAAAAAAATGTCTGTGTTCATCAATGAGCATTGTTTGCATCCACCTAGCACACACTTTGTGGAAAAACAGATTTTTATTTTATAGTGACTCCATGTGTAAGCAGAGGCCATGTCCAGCATGAATTAAACATTTCACTTTTTCACATATTTTCCAGCTTTCATTCTTTTATAGAGCTACTTTTGTACTATGAAGTGTAAGTCTTACCTGTAAGGGTTGTATTTCATGTTCTTCACTGTAACTAAGTAAAGCTTCAAAGATCTTCAGGATTTTCTCTATATTATATCTGTGCTGCATAATCTCAACAGCCAGTATCTAAACATATAAATAGGAAAATCTGTCAAATAAAGCCCAAATATTATTTTAATTGTCATTCAAATATATGGGTATAAAATATTACAAGCATCTGTTCAATCTATCAGACATAATTCAGTAACTAGTTAATTGAATATCAATATCTGTGAAAATGGAAATGATTTTGGCAGTGATAAAAGGAAAACACAGAGTCTCTATTTTAACATGTATCTATTTAATTAATTTTAGTGTCTAAATGATAGATTACTGTATTCTTAGCTCGCAGATTAAACAGAAGAGGGCCTGACAAAAAAGTGCAAAGGCAACAAAATACTTAAGTAAGCAAATGTCCAAATGCTGTATTATGATCAATCTTTTTTACCATTTTACGCTGAAAGCCTATAGTCAGAGAAAAATACAACCAATCATTGTGGAAACCTACCTTCTGATCATAGAGTTGGGATGAAATGACTTCTGTTTCCAGGTTAATGCTCCTGAATTCCTCTAGTTTCTCTGCCGTGTCTTCAAACCAGCCCAGTTCCTTCTCCACTGCTTGCTCAAGCTGAGAACACACGTTCAAAAGGAAATCTTTTGACATAACACTATCACACATCAGATTCAATGGAGTTTCCTCTTCTGTTCCTTCATTCATGGCAGATGCTTTAAAATGTGGTAAAACACCGTTGAATTACTGCATCATGCTCATTGAACTGAATCTCACTCCCTTCATTTTCACATGTCCAATGTGACATGACAGATCTCCAGCTGGGGAGTAGATAATCTAAACTTTGTACACAGATATATTTTAAAAATATGGACCACACTGACACTGAACAAGGTCATTGTTCATGGGTGTGCTGTAATAAGTCATCCTGGGTGGCCAACTTTGAGCTTTACCAAGAGCAAAGTACCAACTACTTGGTTGAATATGTACAGTACCCCCCACACAATTTGACAAATAGAAATGGGGATGATACAATAGTTTAGATGACTAAACTATGAGTCAACCTACTCCCAAACAGGAGTCAAACACTGTGTTATTTACAGGAGTTTGGTCATAAGGCATGTTACAGATATTCCAAACTGAGCAGTATGATATCTCTTGTATTACAAGAGACACCAAATGTACAGATTTCTTAAAAATCCTTTGTACATATTTAAAAAAATATATAGCTGCCAGTTTTTTTCAATTAAGTATAGCTGTTATGTTATGAACTTGTCTCTCTGGCACCAACTCCTGTCTCTGGTCTCATGCAATTAAATGAAACATATACTGTAGTCATTCTCCTTCCATGTGTTGGGCTACTGAGCCATTCATTACGGACACTCTGCAAGCTCCACAGTGGCAGGCAGGAGATCACTGCTGATTGGAGGAACAACATTCTCTCTCAGTGATGTCACTCAAGTCTTCAGGTGCCTGACAGTCATAGGTTTGCCCTGGCCAACTAATCCCACCCTTGCCTTGGTGCTAGTCTGCCAGTTGAGTCCATTTATATGGGGAAACCTGGTCACAGCTGGCTAGTGATACAGGTCAGGCTTGAACTAGGGATATCTGGATCACAGAGTTCAACCTGCACCTGTTTGATATATTATAATAACAAGGATATGCACTTTTACTTTATCGAGAAGCAACAAAAAAACGATGATCATGCATGTAGTATATAACTCCACTCTCTGTCTCAGCTAGTTGTCATTCTCTCCAAAGAGCAGAACAGATAGATCTATAACACATACTGCGTAAGCTTTATGACTGCAAGCTAGCATATTTTAATTACTTGGTGCACTATAGAGGGTCTGCATTTTTATATAAAACAGGTATTTGAGGATTTTTTAAATATAGATCCATGATAACAGTAATTCATATGACAGAGAATCAGGTGGAGAACAGTTTAACGTGTATATCGTACATAGAAAAATGACATAAGATGTGACAGTGCAAACCACTGCTCTGTTGGGAAATTTCTGTTAATAGAGATTTACCCTCTGCTTGTCCAAGGCACTGAAGAAGGTTTCTGCTGGAACGATCTGGCTTTCATAGTTCCCCAATTCCCTCTCCACCCTTCCCAGCCACAGGGTCAGGTCTTCCTGGCTGGAGGTGCACCGGGACGAGGCCTCCAGAGCTTGCTCCAGCCTCTGCAGGAGATCCGAGCTGCTCACGCTGAGGACCGAGTACCTGATCCGGAGGCTGTCAATCTTCTCCTTGACAAGCTGCAATTCTTCCTCTGACAGACAGGAGCACTGGCTGAAGGCTTTCTTTGATGATGAAGCCTTCTTACAACTTTTAATCAAAAACCCTTCCCTTTGGCGCAGTTTCATAAACATAATAAAACCAAAAAAACTACCTTGGAACTACAGTCACCAGCACTGTTAACAACGTGTTTTTTCTTCTTAAAACCATTATATGAAACAAAACACCCTGTTACATTGTATTCACTACAGCAGATGTTGCATTTTTGCTTTTATTTTTAAGTTCAGTTCCTTAGGTATATGCATCATATTATTTTTAAGAAGCCAGAGAACAAGTAAAATGTTGTAAATCCCTACCTGATACTTTTTCCATCAATTCAAACCCTTTTTGTAAGACTTCCTCAAGTTTCTGGCTTTTGGATTTTATTTCTTCAAGAGCAACCTATTAAGTAGTAAAGACAAATATTAAAGCATTTATTTTAACACTAGACAAAACAAGTACATGGACAGAGTTACAATGGTTCTGAATATTTTCCATTTGTTGATTGTCTGTCTGACAGTGGAAGGATGAAACCCCTGATATTAAGAAATGGTTTTATATCTCTGTTCAGACTAATGAGTATCAAATACTCTTTTTCTGAAGTTCTTTTTTGATTATGGCATGAGGTGTTTCCACTAACCTGCAAGGTAAACACTTAATTTAAAGTTTCCACCCAAACTCAGTCCTTGTTTAGTTGTTACCCAATTATTTAACCACATAATTCTAAATTACCCCCTTAACTGTGGCAAATAGCCTAGGAGATCACATTATTTCACATATTGATAATTAATAATTCATTGTCTTCTACTTAGTGCTCCATTCCATATCAAAACTGTTGAATTGGTACTGTAAATGTATACACTTTTGGTTGTTAGGAGAAGATAAACACAGCTATCATGGTAACAAAAAGTAAACTTCATTTATAAACTGTAATAGTCCAAGTGCAGTGAAGCACTGTAGGATCATGCCTTTGTGTCTTTATGAGACCCAGAGGGTTGGTGATCAGACTTTGCACCTTGGCTTGAACAGTGGACTCCTGGATGTGGCTCATGCCTTTCTCTGTGGTTCGGAGCTCGGAGAGGTTCTGCTCCACAGTAATGAGCCACTGCTGGAAGCTGTCCATGCTCTCCTGAAATCCCTGTGCCTTAGGAAGGATCTGCACCAATCTACTGTCCCTGTCACAATGACAAAACACCCCAAAAAGCTTTACGGAAAAATAATTCAAAGGATTTCACAGGAGTAAACTAAATCTTTTCTTGAATTTTATCTGAAGGACCTTGAAGTACACTGTGGGCCTATTCAAGAAACATTTAACTGAAAACATTTTTTTCTAACATTCACTTGTTCTATTATTCAATATATAGCACATCTAAAATAGCTAGTTGTTTCTTTAACATCTCCTCTCACAGCATCAAGAAGTGTACTATGAAGGGAGATGGGGGAAGGGCATTCATACTCCTTCAATGTGCTCACCCCTCAGATGGTCTACATTGTACACTCTGCAAGTCTCGTAGGTTCTTACAGGAGGGTTGGAGTTAATAGGATTGTGTCTTCCAGTGACATAACCGCAAACCTATAGGTGCCCAAGAAGCTACATATTTCATGGTACTCCTAAGAGTCAATACAGCCATTTTAAATCTGTCAGATAAACAGAGCGCAGCTGAGACTGTGATGTGCTGAAGAAAACCTCAGCTTTTTCTGACAATCTACCTGTAACGAAAAGACTGTACAGATATAATGGGTTTTATCTGAATGAGATCAGTACTACTGGTTGGCTTGTCTGTGATCATTTGTTTTCAAGAACTGGAAGACAGACTATGAAGGAATGAGTATAAGAAAAGTACAATGGGATATAATGATTTTTTTAGATGTATAAGCCTGTTGATAATATTTCTCAAGAATTAATTTGACCACTTTTACCAATTTGTCAAATACAATTGACCAATTGTACTTCAAATGTACTGTGGCCAAACACTCAATAAACTTTTTCAATACATTTCATTTTGGGATATTAATGCTTGTGAAAAAGCTTTGCTGCTCTGAAATCAGAGAAAAGTTCAAAGAAAAGGGGCTGGATACATTCCTCTAAAGTTAATGGCTTAAAGGAATATCATGATCTTAAAGACCAAAAAACTGAATCTTTTTCAGGCTTGAACAGGAAAGCCTACAAGGGAACCTGACTCTTAAAAACCTGAAAGACCTTGAAAAAGTCAACCCGATGGAATTCTTCGTAATACACAGCTCACACAAGCCAGGTAACAGAAAGAAGTGTATATAACTGAATTCTATGGAGTGCTCGAAAGTAGAGAGCTATTTTTGCTCTTGAAGCGGTTACAGACACATCAATCATGTCTATTGAATTGTCACTGATGCACATAAAAGTAAGCAGACCTGTTTTCTGCATTCTGAAGCAAAGTTTCCCATTTCTCCCTCAGTAGGGAAATTTGTCTGAGAACCATCTCTCTGTCGAGGTCACGGTTTTGCTCAACAAACTGGGGCCCATTTTGTATCATGAGCTCCAAACTGGGTCTTCGATCTTCCAACAAGCGCTGTAGTAACTGAAAAAAAACAATCACTTATTAATCTCCCAAGGACTTTTATTTTACAAGAGAAGTAACATTAGACTTCAGCTGAAAACTGAGAAAGTCTCACAATAAAAGGAATACTTTCCAACTCTATCTTCAAAGTCTTTGTGGCTACAACAATTTATATGTTGTACACAATGCCAAATGGCACAGTGAAGCAGGTATCTTGGGGCTTATGTATCTGGGTATAATGAATGGTGAGCGGTTTTGAATTTCTGGGTCAACATAATGTGTCTCCAGGCCAGCAAAGAACAAGAAAAACCCTTTAATTTGATCTAGGCTTTATTAGTTTATTTTGAATTCTGATTTTTCACTTTTATCTCTTGTTCTATGTCCCTGTGAATTAAAACTAAGCAAAACAAATGGTAAATCAAAACAAAGATAAGTTCCAGTACATTGTAATGAGTGAAGATACGTGACATCCTTTGAGTCCCAGTGTGTTTTTCTATCTCAGAATATCATTAACATTTAGAATTCTACACTTACATTAAACCTTTTTTCATTATACATTGAATAAAACATTAATGGATCAATTGTGCTTTAGTTAAATAATACCTTAACAGTGAGTTATGCAAAGTACCATCTGTTGAGATAATGGAAAAACCAATTGAACGATCTCGGATGACATGTCTGTAGTGCGGATGCCTGGTTGACTTTCAGTTCACCAGAAGCTTTAAATTCAGGTATAAAAAGAAGATTTTAATCTACAAAGGTGCATCTATGAAGGTGAATGGCTACTGTGTTTCTAAAGCATTACAAATTATTTTTGGATCAGTGAAATGCATGCTAGAATATGAAAAGAAAGTCAGAATATTTACTTACAGCATGAGTTACTAACAAAAATAACATCCTCCAGATTTATTCACATTTATGAGGAAGTGGAGCTCAAAGCTAATTAACTATAGCAATCTGAGTGCACATTCAATATTTTCTAATAAAAAATAAACCGCAAGTTAAAGGCTTGTACGAATTTCAATATTTTGTGCATAAATAACACAACTGTTAAAACGAGTGTAATATAGTAAAAATACGCTTTTCTTAATTCATAGTGTTCAGGTTTACTCATACTAAATCAATGTTTTGTTATTCCTCTTCTGGACTTGATATCCTTGAAAAGGTTTCCTGTTGCCATTAATTTGTTCATAAACCTCTCTTTAGGGACATTGGCATTCCACGTTCGCTCCATGCAGTACCTTCACAGCACCTTGGAGTAAGCTCATACCATAAATGTTCTGCTACTGATGAAAAATTGAGCACACTGAATAGAATGGTCTCTTATCTTTTTGGTCATTGACCTTGATGTTGGCTTTTTTATTACCATCTTAATGAAATTACTTGGGGTTCTTGACAACATTACAACTCATTTGTTCTTCCCTTCTACCTTTAACAGCAGGACAAAAGGAGTCAAAGCAACTTACAACTGAACAGATCCATTTCCATTTTTCACAGAAGGGATATTCTTTTTTCTAAACATGACTTTCATCTTTCTGGGCTAATCGTACTGCTGGTGAGACTGTCCAAAAACTTGATTTGTGTTTCATCCAAGCACATAGCACTTGCTGTTTGGCAAATTAATGCTTTTTCTTCTCTTTTCATGTTTCCATGGAACTCTGCTACAGATTGCAGATTCATGAGGTCAGCCTTGAATGGTAGTCTTGGAGACATCGTATCCGTACTTTGTGAACAAATTTTTATTTGATCAAACACAATGAAATATTGGACGAAAAAAACTATTCTCTGCACTACATGAACCCCACTTACCCATTCACTCACTGGTGCTCCCCATTTCTACCTAGGGACTCCTAAAATACAGTCAATACACCAGGGATCCCACCAGTCCAGAGCTCCATATGAAAAATGTATGGACAGGATCCAGTGATCCAGGCATATCACCAACAACAGTGACTCCCAGTGCAGCGCTAATAACATTTAGATGTAACAAACAAAAGAGACCTGTTTCCAGAACCAAAGAAACTCTGGATCACTCCCAAATGTGTAAAAATGTGCCAACAGTGTCTCCTGGACAAAGAGCACACAGGGGACTTGAAAACATCATAAGATACTGAGAACAAGAAGTCAAATTCACTCTGTGAAGGACATTTTAAGTGAATGATTCAATAGTTAGGACTTTTGGAAACATTATTATCCTGAATATTGCAGAGGAAACAGCTTTACATACAAGTTTTAAATCCCCATTCCAGACAGTCAAACAGTGTCTTCAAACAGTCAAAACTGGGGTGACTACTGGGATTTTTTTATAGGCATCACTTGAGTAGTTGAGATTGATAATCCTCCATTCATTTTCAACAAATTTACAAAGTGTCAATAAATCTGAACATTGTGCTTTTAATAATATATGTAATTATTGCTATACGTTTAAGTCAACAATTTACTTACTACATTTTGTAACATTTTAATCACACTTTAATTTATGTAAGAGTTGTAACCTCCTGGTGTACACCTGCATTTACTAGATCAATGTTTACAGTTCATTAAGAGTATGATTGAATTTGAAGGCTCCTGTACTGTGTTCACTCAAGTTTGTACAAGGTTTGTTGATGTGCTCTAGGTATTTTTACATTTTTCCGGTACCTTTTGTTCCTGAAGCTGGGCTTTCACGACTTTCAGCTCTGAAGATGGTGTCTTCTGATTGGTCATCAGGTCCTCTATGTCAGAAACCCAAGTCAGCAAGGCCTCAAGGTGCTGATGAAATGCTCTGGAGTCCTCCAAACCCTCTTTCAGAGTTAAGGCACACTGGGCAGCCTTGACACCAAGAAACAGAAAGCTCATGTGTGGACTCTATACATCTAGCTTATAATACGTATTTAACTTATACCCAATAACACAACGTCTCCCTAAGTCTTCAGATTTCCCTTTTTTTATCAATATTCCCTTATAATCCCTTTTTTCCCTAACACAAACACAGCTGTATCCCCTTTATTTGTTTTTCTATGCCAAGGAACATGTTATGACACTGACTACAGTATTTCAATGCTGGAACCAATTTGGGGAAATTACAACTAGAACATTTACATTATATACATTTTACATTCTACCTTCTTGTTAATTTTGCTCCACCTTTCCAGAGTGGTGTCCTGATCTGAACTTGAATGTCCATCACCTTGCAACTGTGGTAGAAACAAAAAACAATGAACTGCTGGATGATGGAAAAATGGGGTAAGCCCACATGGTTTCACAACTAGCTTAGTTGAAAAGAAGAACCATTCCCTTTTTGATTACCTTAAATAAAATAAGTAATTATTTAAAATGTGTAAATTATTTCAGTCTAGAGCTAAACAATAGTTCGTCTGGAAAAAAAACCCTTGTATACTGTACGTAAAACCTTTAAGATTCTTGTTATAGATTGTCTATTATATTTCACCCACACAAGAGCTACAAGTTCATTAGAAGCAGTTTATGATACGGTACTCTTTAAAGAAGTTCTTATTATACACATTAAATAATAAAACATTCTAAAATGAGACACAAAGGTGATTCCTCCAAAACTTTTATAGAGGCAAAAAGGAATGTAAACATTTATTTTTCAACTATAAACTTTAGGCTTTGTTTCCAGCTGGTATGAGCAACTCTATCACCAACTAGTCACACGATTCTACCATGTTTACAATATCTGGATTGTCAGCAACTGACAATAACTGCCTACAGATCTTCTACAGTATGTCAAAGTTTGCAGATATTGACCTCAGACAGCTCTTCAGCAGCATCAGTAAGGATCCTCACTGTCCTGGTGACGACAGGATCCCCCCCCTTGTCTCCTGATGGATACTCCGTCACTTCTACGATTTCTGTCACAATAGTCTCGGTCACTTCTGTCACTTCTGTCACTTCTCTGGTGGCTAGGGGCTTCCAGGACCAGGGGCTTCCTGAGCTCCTTCTTTGGATACCAGCCGCTTTTTCTCCCAATCCTTTCTCAATCAAACTAGGAGGCTGCTTCCCAAAATCCACATTGTTCTTCTTAGGGAGAGTGCCGTTTTGAGGGGTTTTGATGATACCAGATGTGGTTGACCAGGCATTGTCAATTGTGGTGGTATTCCTAGGTTTATCCCCAGCAGAACTCTGCACTTCGGCATTATTCTTCTCCTTTAGGTTCTCCTCTGCCTGGCCTTCACCGAATGGTTCTTTCTTGGACTGGTAGCACTCCTTCAAGATGTCCTCCTCTGACTTAATCTGTTTTGACTTCTGCCCCAAGCAACTGGGCCTGCTGAAGGAATTCCCCATGCTGCTAAAGCCAGGAGGTTAGTGAGCTGTGCAGAGGCAAGGCCCAGATTCAAGCATGCAGGAGGCCGCTTAGCCGCCTAAAACAAGACAAGGGCTCTGCATAAACATCTGAAGCCTGATTTGAATAACCCCCTTTCCCAAAATACATGGCAAGGGCCAACTACTTCAACTATGTTAAACATGTAAAGCAATGTTAAAACAGACATGGTAATGCCTGAATTAAAACATGATGGTTAGGGATAAGAATCACTCCTTCAGAGCACAGCTATGCTGCTATTGTCATGATCCTCAGCTTTGATTTGAGCATTACACAAAATATATAATATATAACTTAATCACTTGCATTTCTGATACACAGAAAACAAAACGAAGATCTTCAAACTGCAGTTCGGGTTAAATGACTGCCAACCCTTTACAAAATAAGAGTGAAGACTATCATCCTTAAAATTGGCATTAACCAACTTTTCTTGTGAGTGCAAGTCATTTAGTTACATCATCATTGTTCTGTGAATGTGAGCATGCTGTGCAAGCATCACTGTGTCCATAGGGAAGGAGCCAAAAGCTTCATTGTTTCATCTCCTAAGAGAGAATAATGCCACTGCAGGGCAAACAATTACTGAGGTTATTTTAAACATACTTGTAACCTTTGCATGGTCACAATAGAATTTTTAGACACTGCAAAATATTAACAATGTGCTTTGTTTGTGCAGTAGCATTCTTCACCTCTCTTTTTCTCTCTTTATTATTTTACAACACGTTACTAACGACAGCAATAGCTCAATATTAATCCACTAAGGCCATAGACCCTTGCCCACTATAAGGTAATTAATGCCACATCTTTGCCACCTGTTTGTTAAATCTGTAGAGCAAGAATAAAACACATTACGCATATAACACTTTTTTACATTACATGTAAATTACATTACATGAGAATAAAAATAACTGCCGCGTATCTGTTTTAAAAACCAATTCCTGTTATTTCAATTGATATTAGGAATTCCATTTCGAGGGACACTTCTGTGTTTTGACATAAATAAATGCTACCCCACACTCTGCAAGTTTCTTTCTTTGGCTCATGGGTTTTGTACAGTTAATTTTACTTTACTAAATTCTGTAATACAGTACATGTAAAACACACCACTAATGCTCTAGAAATTGGTAGGACTAGAATGATGAAATGAATAAGATAATTTTGAAACAAGTTTTATATTCAAATGTTTTGTACAGTAGATTATTCTAAACACTTACGTAGTCTGCACTTGGAACAGAATCTTTAGGATGGCTCTGATTCGTAGAAAACTAAGGACAATTGCAGACAGCTTTTATTGTTGGGATCTATCAACTGGTCTACTTGTTGGCACTTTCTCAGTATAGAATTCCAATGACAGGCCAGTCTATGGGGCAGAATCCTAAAGGTTACCCACTGTTCTGTTTGGCAGCAGAGCTTGAAATTCTTGGCTGGCTCTTACCCCTCTTATTCAGTGGGAAGCTATTTAGGCCCTGATCAAATATGACAAGCATAAAATACTGGTTCATTTCTGAGTGCCGAGAAGATTTAGGAAAAATCTGGAAAAAAGGTTGATAAAATGCCCTTTTTTTCAGAAGAACTGGGAAAATATGGTTCTGACCTTTAGTGTGAGAATTTCCTGACAGTGTTTTGAAAGCTATTCAGAATGCAGAACTTTTTAAATGGTAAAATGTGAATGTTTTGTATACCAATCTTATGTACAAAACCCTATAAAGTCTATTTGTCTTTAAAAAATCTTAGCAGCTTCTGTTACATGTATGTACCATACTGTTACATAGTATTTACAAATTTGAATATAGTTGCACAATCTTTAGTTATATTTACTTATATTAATATTGATACTACTCCTGCTGCCATCATGAGGCTTTTGTTGTATCAAAAAACTTTTAACTTACGAAACAATAGAAATGGAACTGCACACACAATGGCCAGTATAGCACAGTACTGTATAGGAAGAAAAACTAAAAAGAACGCCAGATCCCTGGAAGCTTTATTCCTGAATGTATTTCTCTGTTTTTCTTAAAGAGTCCCTTATGTTCTATGAAAGGTGAGCTTTCTACTAGTAATAATACTAATAATAGTTCTTGTGAATTAGAGTCAGCACCTAAGAAAATCTAAGCGTGTGCGCGATAGTTCTGTGTATCTGGTCAGCATGTAGATCCGTCCTGTTCGTGGACTAAAGCTTCCTGTTTTTACACAGTGTCCACACTTGGGAGGTCAGTGGAGGTCACTGAGAGGGCAATTGGAACAACTGGCTCCCCACCAGAAAGAGATGTTTCTGAATTTGCAGAAGCCACCTTAAATTAAGGGTGCCTTTTATTAGAGGACATAACCTTATCCACATTTGGTACGCCGTGTCCAAAAATATATTCTCATTTAAATAGATCTTGGTACTGTAGCTGCAACACATGTATAGCACGGCGTGTATGCGGTCTAGGTAATTATTAAAAATGTAGAAGCCTTAATTCTACTCTCTTAATTCTAAAAGCGCTGGAAACGCTACTTCCAGTCAGCCCGTTCGCTCGGACGATCAAATGCGAAACTTTCAGGGGGATTAAAATCTTTCCGTCTGTCAACCTCTTAATTGTTGATGTTCCGTGAAACAGGCAGCCACACCTGTTTTTGCACACGTATCGTTTTTTGTGTTAAAAGTCCCTGTCTTCTCGTCATTTCCCTTTGCAATAGTTTTACAAGCTTTTTACTCTTAAGGAAAACTTTACAACAACCATAGATACGGATTACATTAGTACATAATGCCACTGACAAACTGTTCGCTACTGCTGTCCACAAACTAATGCTCTCTAGTAATTCCTGGTAGCAGCAGAACAATAAAAACAGCATCGATGCAAACTATCTCGTTATTTGATATTGGAGTCCCATTTTTACGTTTTTATGACCAATGTACAAGAAATAAACGAAGGAAAGGATGTGATTGATCACCAATAAATGTAAACTATACATTTTAAAAATGTATTTGGTCCAATAATAGGAATCTCCTAGACAATGAATGTGAAATGTATGATGTATAATAACCAAGTTAAGAGAACTATCTTATTGGAGCACCACCCTTTCAGTCTAACACAGAGAACACTATGAGGGAACCGGATGCAACTGATTGGAGAAGCATAAATAGGGGAGTGATCATTGTGATGGACCAGCACCTCAGCCAGGTGGGGAGTCATGTGCTTCCTAATTTGCTTAATGCTACACAGAGACCAGGATGAGTTCTGGCCTGATGCGCTCCAGTTATAAAAAAATACTTTTTTATTATATAGTTAATTCTCTGGCAACACAACTGAGTCTTGAAATTTGTAAACCATTGTAATATGCTTTATGTTGTCAGTATCTGTGTGGAAAAAATCATCAGATGAAATGTAAAAGCGTACATAAGAAAGTGAAATAAAAAGAATAATTCTGAGAAGCGTGACATTCAACAGTGTCATTTTTAAAGGTATCAGCTCCTCCCGCTGTCTGAGTAACCACACTGTGACGTGGAAACCTGAATTGTTTTAGATGAACAGTTTGATTTCTTAGCTTAGAGTACTTGATTTCATGTAAATAGAAAACAGTTCCCAATGTCTGACCCTGAAATAAACCCCCAACGTGACAGGGCCAGTGTGTGACACCTCCGCAAGCTCAGCTTCTATCCCATTGTTCCTGCTCAATGACCTCACACCCTGTCAGTTATATGCAGGCTGCATCCATCATTCAGAGAGTTAAAATATGTGCAATCCATACCACACCAATACATAGTTTTATATTTATTATACATACCATTACATTAAATTACTTGGCCACAGAACGTGTTCACGTTAAAACTCTGATCTTCTCTTTCATCCCCTCATCACTAGCCTTCAGCTTGTTTGTGCTGCTGTGTAGTCCTCAAACCTTTGCTACCGAAGTCAAGTGTGCATGCTGCCAGTGCTCACCCTTGAGAATGAATGGGCCAAGTGGAAAATACTGGGTACTCTGGCAGTGCTGAGCCAGATGTGACAAGTGACAATGTGGAAAATCCAGGAAACGGAGAATCAATAGGTTAGTCCAGATTTTCACTGGAACTAGGAGCTATAAGGACTAACTGGCACTTTGAAACTACTACTACTGGTTAAGTCATGCCAGAACCCTGAGAAATCACATTTCTTTAAGTCTAATCCATTTAATAAAAACACATTAATACTTTAGCAGTAAGTTGCCATTATTTCTACATTATTTTTTAATGTAAGTATATACATTTTTATGATCATTTTTATTTTAACCAGGCATCCGTCCACTAAACAGAGTACTTGGCTTTGGTGCTCTAAGAAGGATGTTAGCTTTTATTAAAGTTTGTTAGGTGACAGTGCTCTCAAGACAACTGAAAAAACAGGACAGGTGATTTATGAAACATGATGTGGAGATTTAGTTGTAGATCACATCAAATTATGCAAAAATATGCAAGAATTAGATTTGATGGCATTAACAGTGTTATTCACAATATATTTATTAACTCAAGTTAGAGTATGTTGCAAAAGATTTTTATTTTTATTTCCTACTCGCCTGATTACTTTCCTCTCATGACCACAGACCGTGAAGCAGCTCTTCAGCCTCCATCACAAAGCTTTCTGGCTTAAAAGGGTGTTCAGTAGAAAAAGTCAGGCAGTGCTCGCCTTATTGAATACCATCCCAGGTAGCTGTCGAGATACTGACATCTTGCTTTGTCAAAAGATAATCAACATACTGGGACAGGTACACATTTTCAGAGTGACTCAGGTGCAAATCGGAAGCAAATATGGTTGTTGATATTTAGTTGATCTTAAAATGCATCTTATTTATTTTGGTTGTGGATAAAAACTGACCAGTATCAATTCCATTGTTCCCCAAATGAAGATTGAGAGATTTTCTCAAAACCTGAGAAATGTTTTTGTGTATTGAAACATATTAACAATAAAACTGTTATATGTTAGAAAACATAACATTATTCTTGATTTACATCCTTAAAATAAAATACAGC